ATCCCGCCTAGACCGATTAATTTAGCGAGCCAGAAATTTTGCAATTATGCAGTTGCACTATACCACTTCCGTGATTGGTCATACAGGATAACATGTCATTGCTTTGGGCACTAATACCTCACAATCAAATACAGAGAAATTCCGTTTAAGTTCTGAACAAAAGTTTTGATGATTTTTGTTAAAAAGAACAAGATTCTAATGTTAAGTGTAGGTTCATGGACTGTAAGCTACTTTAGTCTTCTATCATCTAACCTCCTCCTCATATTGTTTCTAGAAAATTAAAATTAAAAGAAATCAGCACATCTTCTGCGCCCAAGAAAAATAACAACAAAACCCAAACACACATAGTAGCAAATATACTGCCATAACTTAAAAAGGATATTCTTTGTGACTATGGAATCTGACATAGTCTGGAACCTAGTTTGCTGGGAAAAAGAAGTCTCGTTAGCAATAGGTGAATATACTCTGATAACCAACAACGAATAATAAGAGCCTACACTAAATAGCTCACCATCTGCTGAAGAAGGTTCTGCACCTGAAATGGAAAAGGGCCATATAAGAGTCAGAATTAATTCACATAAAAGCACATAAAAATATAATATAAGCAAAAGCTTTCCCACTTCTACATCAAACACATCAATTTGCCAGAAGACAATCCCTCGATAATAATGGATTCAAATGCCAAATAAACCAGCTTGAGAAATACGAGGTGCTACAATATCAGTTACTGATGGACTTGACATTAACAAATGCAACTATAGAAAACCACTAATCCTTCATATTGTAGAGCTGACAACTTACAAAGGCTGTCATATCTGCAGTGCTCTGCTTTGGATCTTCGGAGTCATGCCCATCCTGTCATAAGAAGGGTTGGTTTGGAGGGGCTATGGTCAGAAAGCCAACCAAAAAATGCCCATATTGAATTACAAAAACTCGTCACTCATTGACAGGGATCAGATTACAAGCAAAAACTTAACTAGTGAAATAGAGTTTAAATCAAGAGTATTCTTGCAATAGGCTAAAATAGAGAAGCGGCCGCACAAAAGGGAAAAAAGATGAACAACCCAAAGATCCAACAAGTGGAGATTTGAATCAAGGCAGATATATGAAATCCCAAATGCTTGCTTAGTCTTTAATTACCAACAAGATCGAAAATCAACCCCGATTCGGTGACTAGGCCCTAAATATAGATAAAAGCGGACCAAGGACAGAATCAGGGGCTCAAGGCGCATGCATTTAATCGGATTGTACATAAAATATGTAAACCCTAACTGCCATCAGGAATCACACTGCGAAAAACGAAGAAGAGGAAACAGATCAGGTGAAAAAATGAAATGAGGGTTAGAAGTCCAAACCATGATCAATGCAGATGGAATTTCTACAACGGCTCCTGAACTCCCCGGAGACCAAAAATGCTCTTAAGTCACGAAATGAGCGAGGGGATTCACCAAGGACGCATTGGATTCATATAACAACGAGCCTCAGGAACCCAACGGGTCAGATAATTACAAAACTGCCCCTGTTTTCTTTTCAGGAGAAGTATTGCTGCTGGCCACTTTATCTTAATAAATGGTACTCCCGCGGCACTCCATTCAAATGTTTTTAAATATGATTCTATATCAATTATCAATTATTCTTTAAAAAAATAATCTAAAAATACCGCTTGAATTTGAAAATATCAAAAGGGTGATTCTTACTATTCTCATAAAGACATTCCGTTCTTGTAAATATTTTGATATATTAATATTACCTATCTGTTATTCTAAAATTTAATTGATATTTTTGTGGTCATTTTCTCATCATTCTGTACTATAAAAATTCAAATTTTAAATTTTCGGTAGTTAGGCAGATAATGATGTTATCACTTTTACGTCTGTGAGGAGTTTGGATTAGCTTTTTCAAAATGATTTTACGAATTTTGATGTGAACATGTAAATGAAAAAATTATGTCTCGATTTATTACAAAAATATTTTAAAATTTTTCTATGGCTTTCAAGACAGAATGCCATTACTCGTGGATTGCCGTGTGGAAAGAAATAAAATTTAAATAAAATACATCAACCTTTCTTTTTTTTAACTTAAATTACAAAAACCTTTCTTTTATTTTAAAGACTTATATGGACCTTTCTTAAAATTAAAATATACATTGCACAAACCTTTTTTGTAGTTTTTAGATTAAATTCCCATCCATCCATTCGTTAATTGACCATTAAATTATAGGATTGACCCGTTATTTTGACCAAATTACCCTTTCTTAATGCAAATATTCCTTAATAATTATCACTTAATGACATGTCATACATCTTTATTTGAAATTAAAAAAATAATTTTAATAGATATTTTAATATTTTTGTTATACTATTGAATTGGTTACCTATTATAAATTTTATTAATTTTATAAATATAAATTTTTATTTTACAATAAATCCTGCTTAGTTATTTAAACTTACTTGTAATGTAATTTTTTAAATATATATTAGTAAAAAATGTTTTGTAATTGTATATATGTATTTTCAATAAAATTATAAAGTTATGTCTTGATTTATTAAATTTAGTAAAATATTAAATAGATTATTAAAAAATATTAATATTAAAAGATAAACTACAGATTTAATATAATGAGAGGTAAAATAGGAAACAAGATTTATTCTAATATTTTTAATTAAAAAACATGCGTAAAAAATCTATTCAAAATATTCCTTAACAGTGTTAATAGTTTGAACTAAAATATATATTATCAAAATAAAAGGGAGGTTCGTGTAATTAAGTCAAAACAGAATGATGGTCATAATATTTTACTCTAAAATTTATCATGCCTCGTATTGCATCAAGTTTTTTCTTGGGCCTCGATTAGCTTGGTAAGTTGGACTCAAAAATTGCCATTCATTTCTCGAGGGTTGGGTTTAGCGGAAAGAGCTAATCCTCATAACGTGACGAATTAATATTTAAATCTTCACTGAGAGAGGTGTCTACATTTAGTATCTGATATTACCTCAAATAGGATTGTCTCTAATAAATGGATACCTATATTTTAGCAAAAAAAATTGCCATTCATGCGAAACAATTGGAGAGTGTTCGCCGGGGCAATCTTTGTTGAAATTCACATTCCGGTTCCTGCATAATTTGTAATCTTATTTTAATTTTCATCGTTGCTATAATCCTTTAACTTTTCCGGGCCAGAAGACATAAGTTAACTAATTTAGAAAGATTAAGACCCTGTTTGTCATCATGTTTAAAATTACTAAACCAATACAAAACTTATATCACATACTTATCTTGTAATTCATAAACCATGACTAAAAAGTTACTTATAAGCCATTTCAAATAGGTTATAAGAAAATTAGTTGAGCTAATTATTTGTAATAAATAGGCGTGTCTTTCTTAAAATATTCTTACTAATATTATATACTACCTTCAGTCCTTAATATAAGACTTTGTTTGACTTTTATTTTGATTCTAAATATAAGATCCAAATCTATTTTGTCTCTCATATTTATGTATTGTTTTTAAAGGTAGTTCTTCTAGCAATAGTGATTCTAATCAGTACACTTGATTAGCAAGGATATTTTAGAAAAGACAACATTTATTTGTTACAAATAACTAACTTAATTTCTTCAAATTAGTTAATTAATTCTTATAATTAGGATCGGAGGCAGTATTAACTAAAACTACCATTTGATTAAATATTTAACATATATAGCTATTATAATGACAACTTTAAAAAATTAAATAAGTATTAAAAATAAAATAAATTAGACTCTAATATTTAAAGCCAAATTGAATGTTAAGTTGGTTTTTATATTAAACACCGGATGTGGTGATTCTCTAGTATGTAAAGAAAAGAAACTCGAGAGATATTTCCTTCACTGACCTTGATTAGAGTCTGCCGAAACCGTTTTTGCCAGGGGTTTTAATACGAATAAAATAAAATTGTCCTTCATGGTGATTTATCTTGGGCATATTAATAGTTGGGTTGGGCAGACCGCAGACCCAGCCCACTGTGAATGCGGGCAGAGAAGCAATCCTGAGAAAAATGCTGTCTGAAGGACATATTTCAGCACATCTCCACCCAACGAGAAAAGTGAAGGATCATTTGGAATGGCATTAGAAGCCTTTTAATAAATGATAAATTTTCTCCAACAAGCTAGAGACAGATATTTCTGATTCTCGTATACTTTTAATATAAAACTCAATTAATTAATTTAAAAGAATTAAAAAAATTAAAGCACATGTTACATGATTTATATGAAATTATTAGATCGCATGTAAGTTTACAAATTGGACAAATTAATTTTAAAATATAAATCCTTCTAAGTAATTTTTTAATTTTCCTAATCTTTATAAATTAACCAAGTGGGTAACAGGAGCTAGTAGTAAATTTCACTGCATCAAAATAAAATAAATAATAAATATAGGATAAATATATGGGAAAATTAGTAAAAATTTCTGTTTGAAAATTTAATCGGCTGAAAGAACCTCAATTTAAATGAGTGTAATTTAACCTGTGAATGTAACACATCTTTTGCTATGTATAACATATTATTAATAATGCGTAATAATCATCAACAGGAAAAGCAAGTCACACAAAATTTTTAAATATGGTTTTTTTTTTAACTAATTTTTCTAAACAAGCCGATGGGCCTAGCCATCTTAACATTCGTTCCACAGCCCATGCTCGTTCAGCTTTTCATGCCATGTGCCACGTGCCAAATACCCCATTCCTCCGCTTGACATGCAAATAAAGCTTGTGATCCGGTAGCTCCACGTTTCGATATCTCCCTGACCCCCCCAGCTCCTTCAATGACACGTGGCAGCGTGGCCATCGTTGCACGTTTGCCCAGTGGCACGCAGAGGCGGAGAGTGGCCCCCCATCTTGACTCTTTTGACCTCCCAGTTCACGCATGACTGCCACGTAGAATTCTCAATGGCCCTCGAGATCATCGCCAGGCCAAGGATCGATATAAAATGGCGGACTCGTTGTAACGCTCCTTCTCGTCCCCTCCTTTTCAGGCCATCTCTGAATCTCCGTATTCCTCGACTCTGGATCTCCCAGGGAAATCAGCCATACAAGCGATTGCAACAAGGAAACAGAACATGGCAGAATCCGAAGGCAATCGTCCGGATCTAGTACAAGTCTCTTCCCCATTTCTGTATCTTTTCTGGAAGTTTCTATTGTCATTTGCTCCTTTTAGTTTGCATTTACGGTCGTCGAGAAACGAAACTGGGGTTTATATCCAATGATGCTCATATAATGGTTCGATAATTGAATCAAACAAACCAACCATCGTCGAATGTATCTCAATTTACGATGATCTGTTTTTCTTCTCTGCTTGTCTCAAATTTCCCCCTTGTCTCAGGACCAGGAAAAAGAGGGAACTTTGAAGTATCTGGATTTCGTTCGAGTGGCATCGATCTATGCCACTGTTTACCTCTCAAACTTCTATGCATATGCCAAAGAAAATTCTGGTCCGTTAAAGCAGGGAGTTGAGACAGTGGAAGGAACCGTCAAGACCGTGGTCGGACCTATTCATGAGATGTTCCACGACGTTCCATTCAAGCTCCTCATTTTTGCTGATCGTCAGGTTAGCAATGTTCCGTTGGTCTTGGATCGTTATTTCATGGATACTTTATGGCTAATCACGATCTGTATGCAGGTAGACAAGTCCGTAATCGAGGTGGAACGCCATGTGCCCTCATTATTAAAGCACGCATCGAGCCATACTATTACTGTGGCGCAGAAGGCTCCAGATGTCGCTCGAACTATCGCATCGGAAATACGACGCGACGGGGTGCTGGACGCCACAAAAAGCATAACGAAGAATGTCTACTCTAAGTACGAGCCAGCGGCTAAGGAGCTTTACTCGAAGTACGAGCCGTTGGCTGAGCACTATGCGGTATCAACTTGGCGCACGCTGAATCGGCTTCCGCTCTTCCCACAAGTGGCTGAACTTGCCATTCCCACGGCGGCGGACTGGTCGGAGAAGTATAATCGGGCTGTTTCTTATATGGCATCAAGGAACTACACAGCGGCAACATACCTGCCGCTGATTCCGAAAGATCGGATCGCTAAAATCTTTGAGGACAGCCCAAGTGTGTCAACCAATGGTGAAGGAACCTCCTCGGCGGCACAATAATGAGCCATCGGTTATGCCAATTTGGTGGTTTATTACGAGCCCAGGTTTCTTTGCTAATTACCTGCTGCGAAGCATTTCTCGTGCCCTTTCTTTCTCAATAGCTCTTTTGATCCAGTTCCAATGAATTAGTTTTGTGCTACTCAGTAGGCTCCTTGGGTAATGGTTACTTTCTCGGGGGAGCATATTTACTGCTTTATTTGTTCTTTTGTTAACACTAAACCAACTGCAATCTCTGACGCCTTAAGGGCGTGCGCATTTACATTGCCCTCCACGCCAAAAATATTGTGATATCTCATATCTGTAGCTTAGCCCTCTCGATACGTGAGTCTAATCAAAACATTAAGTCCAGAGTAATGAAGTTGAAGGCTCTCGCACGATGCCCCTCTTGAAACCTTTCTCTCAGTGATTTGGAACCTCCTTTCTTCCAACCCCCCTCCCTTTTTTCTGTTTTTTTCCCAGACAGAAGCTCCTTTCTTTCATTCTCACACAACAGAGTAATTGACAAGCCAGTGTAGTGAGTGTTTTGTCGCGTTAAGCTGATTGGTTATATACATGCTCTGACCGTTTAATTATTTTTTCTGAGGATTAATTCCAAGCTCGCTGTCATGCAGCCTCCACACAATTTTTCTTTGGTCAGCGGTCGTCCCCTGATTTTATACTTTATAATAATCGCGCAGAGTAGTATTTAACGATTCTTTAACTTTTAAGCTGAGTTTTTAAATTAGATGCCTGCAAGTGAAAGTTGCAACTTAAGATCCCACAGAAAAATAAAATAAAAATAAAAATGTTACTCGCATGTACTAAACACTCCGTCATACTCAACGAGGGTGAACGAGCATATAAATTCATATATTAAGGGAGTGTTTGGAAGCACCCAGAAGTGCTTCTCAAAAATACTTTTCCGTAAAATGAGACAAACTCCTTCACATATTTATCTCGTATACCGTAAAAACACTTTTAAAACTATAGTTTGGTTTTTATCTAAACACCCCTTAAAACGTTATAGCCTCAGGGAATGAGTTGTGTTTATTGCTTTCCGTGGCCCAAAAAAGAAGAAGAAGAAGGTTTAATGCTTTCGCTCACATGGCTCTCCCTTATCGTTATTATTTCTCAGTCAAGTTTTTATTAATTTTACAGCATAGATTTAACTTTTAGAAATAGTCTATGGAAACAAGCATTTTAGTGCCTGTTTGGCAACACTTATTTGGAGCTTATAAGTAGAGCTTATAGAGCTTATAAGCTCGATTGACAAAAGTAGGGTCTGTTTGGATCAGCTTTTTTGCAATCAGGCTTTTGTTTGAAAAGCTACAATAAGCTATAAGCTAAAATTAACAGTTTATGACTTATAGCTTATGTCTTATGGCTTTTGAAATATGGAGAGAGAAAAAGTTAAGAAATTTATTACTTCTTTTGGTTCTTATTATAAGCCTCAAATAACTAATTTGTAGATAATAAAAAATCAATTAAAATTAGTTGAAAGTGATGAATAAGTTAGAAATATATTTTTATTTTTAAATATGCTTCTAAAAATATACTTTTATTTTTTCATGTTTCACTTTATATTTATAATATTTTTTATAACTTCTTCATATTAAATTATTTTAATTTCATTGTATTATGTGAAATTATTTTTTTAATCATGTTTCATTATTTATTAAAACTCATGCCCATTTTGGTAATTTTTCAGCCAAAATTACTTTTACTCAACTATAATCCAAACAAGCTTTTTCCAATCTCATTTTTGTAAACTAGCTTGTCTGGACTCCAATCCAAACACAATTCAGCTTATCCAATTTAACTTTTACTATCTTCACTTTTTCATAAGCTACTTTTTCTATAAGCTGCTTTTCCAATCGCTGATCCAAACGGACCCTTAATTGGAGTTAAGATTGATTTTGATTAAAAGTTAGTTTCTTTGGCCATGATTCTGATTGGTGGTTTCCCCAAGAAGGAGTATTGACAACAATTTGCTTCGACATTGTCCACTAAAATCATTCCCAGCGTGTGACTACCCAGAAAAGCGTGGCAGTTGGATTTCAATGATGGTTAGGAATATTTAGTGAACATTTAACGATAGAGACTTGGCTTGTCTTTGTTGAGAATGAATGCGAGTAGCCCAAGACCTGTAATAACTAAAAAGATCCTGTAACATATTACATAATCCTCATCTTTTTAATATAATACCTAATTATTAAGTTAATTCTAGTCTTAAATATAAGAACCATTTCTTATATTTATCAATTTTTTCTAAATTATCTTCCTTCAATCATAATCAAGTAGAAGAGAGAGGGGGGATATTAAGGAAGATGATTATGGTATTTTAGAAAAAACATGTTATATTTCTTATAATTAACTAACTTATCCAACTATTTTAATCTAATTAAATTAATTAAATAGATCTTATATTAAGGACCGGAAGAGTACTAATTTCGATCCTTAATATAATATAAGAACTAGTTGTTTAATTTAGATAAATTAAAAAATTATTTAAGTTAGTTATATATAATAAATAGATATTATATTTTTTAAAATATTTCTATTAATCAAATGTATTGGTTAGAATTTTTATTGTTATGCAGATTACTTCAAAAAAATAATAAACATGAGAGACAAAATGTATTGAGATTTTTATTTTTATTAATAATTAATAATAAAATCACGGGCTTTAGGCCAAAGGTAGAGGGAAGCTTTTTCTTGGCCAACAAGAAACCGGGAAAGTAGTACAGTTCATATAACTGATTGTGGGCCCACTTCATAGGGATCCATCCCATCTGACCGGGGCCCTCCTCTCCAGACACCTCGCCACTCCCCATCGCTTCGAGTCCCACTGTTCGACTACACCACATAAATTTCACCGCCAACGACACCGCTCCGGCCTCCGGCCTCCCGCCAGCCCCGAGCTTGACCATCTTTTATCGTTCCTGATACCCCGTTTCACGGCTTCTCAGGTCGCATCATCGCAATCTCACAGGTCACTCTTCCGTTTCTCTCATCGTCTCACATCATAATTTATGATAAATAAATAACATCTGTTTATATTTTTATATCATTTGATACACAAGAAACCAACAAATACACAAACCTTGATAACGGGATTTCCCGCAATCATTCGTCTTTGTGTCACAGCCATTTCCTCCGCTTCTCTTTGATTCTTGCTGGATTTAGGGGTGAAGAGGGACCTAGCGCAACTAAAACGAAGCCAGCATCATGGTCGAAACCAGACGGGGCTCGTCGACTTCCAAGCGCTCTCTCTCTTCATCCTCCTCTTCCAACGTCAAACGACCCAAGGTATTATTTTTGTTGCCTATAGTGCTCCTAGCTGATTTGTTTCGACGTGAATTTCACTGTTCTCATCTGATTATGGGGGTTTCCATGAAAATTCCTATTTTTTTTCTGCTGGAATTGATCGCTTTGCTCTCCTAAACCTAGGTGCCCAAGGCTTCTTCGTCAAGAAGTCCGCCGTCAGCGGAATTTCTTGGTCCTGTCAACGAACCTGGAAATGAATCCCGAGAGACGGAGCCAAGTCCGTCTAATCTTCCAGATACTGATTCGTTGAAAGGCATGGAGGATTGTGACGTGACGATATCTGACCAATCTCCCGCCATGGCCATCATCGAAGGCGAGGATTTGACATGGCCGCCGCCTCTGGGTGCGACATGGCCTTCTTTCGTCTTTGTGTCATATTGATTTGTATTGGGAGCTCGTGCTTGTATGCATGCGTTCGTTTCTCACGTTGTTTGTTATTGTGAAACCATGGCGAGCTCAGGTGAAACCGCGGTGGATGGAGAGAAATCAAAGTTGGTTGGAGCGGCCGCCGATGCCCGGTCCAAGAAACGCCCAACGAAATCAACTAAAACGAGCCCGAAGGCTGCGTGGGGAAGGCTTCTTTCTCAGTGTTCGCAGGTGTATATTCACTCCTTATTGGGTGTTCTCCATCCGTCTCTAGTTATCACTGCTAGCGTGGCTCGCAGGATTCTGCAAGAAACCGGCGTGACCAAATTTCACACGCACACACACACACACTCTTAAAGGCTAAACTATTAACATTGAGAAAATCCTGTCTTCTTGGTGACATCGCCCTCACCATCACCATCATTATTATTTTAACTTAATGTCATGCCAGAATGTTTTATGTATTCTGGGTGTGAAATGTTATCCTTCTCAAATTTTTGTCAGTAATGTTGCATGCATGGTTAATAAACAAAAAGTTCTGTTTGTCCTTAAAGACTTTTGTTCTGCTTCTGCACAACAATAAGGATGATGAATCTGCAGCTTTTAGTACATTGTTATCTATCTTCTTCTTCTTTTTGTTGCCAATGCCTTTATTACTTATATGGTATTTGGTCTGAATATTGTTGAATTCCAAAGTAAAGGTTTTGGTTCCTTCATTTTCCGCAGCAGTTTATAAATTGAAGATAATGAATTTAGGTGAGAAGTGGGAACCAATTTATGATTCCCTCTTCTGGTTAGAGTGCTCCTTCATTTCTGGTCATAACTTTTCTAGGATTTGAAATTAATGTGTTTTTATTTCTCATGTTTCTCCAGAATCGACATTTGTCCTTGTGCAGTTCTCAATTCACTGTTGGTCATGGCCGTCAATGCAATTTATGGCTTAATGATCCAGCTGTCAGTAATGTTTTGTGCAAGCTGAAGCTCACCAAGGTAGAACTTCTACCTATATCTTGGAAATTTACGGGATTTAGCTGAGTAATAGAGGGTCCACTGGCTGTACATCGTAGGTGTGACAAACAAGTCTTTTCCTTTCTTTCTCTGTTTTTTTTTTTTTGGGGGGGGGGGGTGTTACACTCGCAACATACATGCATGATTGTTGAAATTTAATTATGTTGCCGTATATGTATATATGTGCATTCTCACCCTCACACACTGACATATATGTATATATATAATATTTGAGATCAATGAATCTCTGTTCAGCTGTAGCACGAGGGGTCCTGAATTTCTCATGAAAGAAAATTTTTAATCACAATGTATAACCTTTGATAGAGCCCTGATCACCATGATTATTTAAACTTGCATAGCATGGAGGTTCGTCTGTTGGATTACTGGAAATCACAGGGGATAAAGGTGCCGTCCAAGTTAATGGCAGGAATTACAAAAAAAATTCCTGCCTGATCCTGAACGCAGGTGATGAGGTGGTCTTCAATTCTGACAAGAATGCTTATGTATCCTTTTACATATGTTTTGGGCGCTGCTTTGAGAAGAAATCTGACCCTGTTTGGTATAAAATGGGGATGAGAAAGGGAATGGGAATTTGGATCCAAAACATGTTTGGTATATCGGGGAAGGGAGAGGTCATGTTACTTGGTCCATTTAAGGGGAAAGGATAATGCTGTTGTGGTTAAACTAAAAGGAGAGGAGATGCTGTCAAAGATGATGCTCTTGCTGGTGTTCTGCTTACTCTCAACATTGTTGGTCTATACTCAAGAAATCCGCAGCTCTAGCCCACTTACTGTCGGTGATGTTGCAGGGATCTCCAATGGCTTAAAGTTACTCTGCATTATAAGGAACTCCTTCGCTTGATTGATGCTCTGGGTCAAAGGCTGAGGATGCTAGCTCTTGATTGTTTTGCGATTGTGAGAGGGATCCAATTGTGTTCATTAATTAGGGCTAGGGGTAAATTTGGAATGTACTAGGTGTTGTGGGGACCTTTTTGTCACAAAAATATCCTTTTCATGGATGGTCGTGCTTTCCTCTACTTTTTGATGAAAGCCCTCTCCTTTAAACACGGGAGAGTGAGGTTCCAAAGAAGACTGATTGAGACCTAGCAAATATGCCAAATTCTACTTTCCCTTTCCATCTCCGTTTCAGAATCTTCCTTCCCCTCCTACTAGATGTAATCTTAGTTCTTGTTTACTTCTCACTTCCTCCTCTTTTTGGCATGCGGTCATGCTTGTGTTCATGAGGAAAACTTATGATTGTGTTGCCTGTGTTAATACATCATGGACTAGTGTTACCAAAACTTCTTCTAATGATCTACTCTTGATTCCTTAGCTTGGAATTTAGATATTTCAGCAGCTCACGAATAATAATGTCACTACTGCTGGGGTACCTTGTTCTGTAAGTATTTTGGAAGCTCATAGTTTATAAAGGATACCTTGCTGGAGCAGCGTTGTTGTTCTTCTTATTTTATTATTATTATTTGTAATCTTGATAAAATTTATCTATCCTTCCACCTTATTCTAAAACTAGCGAGAATGTCCAACAGAATGCTGAGGTTTCATTGCAGCCTCCTGGCCATGGGGTTGATACTGCTGACAAGGAGAATACCACCAATAATGGCAATCCAGCTGAAGTTTCTGCTGATAAAACTATTTATGCATCCTCTGCCGCTGCCAATGAAAATTGTAATCTTGACAGCATGAAAGTGGAGGATGGGATGTTGACAGGGGCCCCTCATGAGTTAAGGCCTTTGTTGTGCAAGCTTGCTGGCCTGTGCACTGAATTCAACTTGAATGATGGATTTTCCAAAATATCTGAACAAGGAGAATCAGTAGAACTCTTCAAGGATGTTGATCCTCAAACTAAATTAGTTTCCATCAGGCAGCAAGCATTCAAAAACATCTTACAACAAGGAATTCTCAATCCTGATAATATTGATGTGTCATTTGAAAACTTCCCATATTATATAAGGTGCAAATATTTGCTTCGGGAGTATTTTATTTTCTTATTCGTCCTCTATATTCAGGCGACCTGAATTGTGTTTTACTTCTGTTGTATTTTTGAACATGATGTCTCATATTGTTACAGTGATGCTACAAAAAGTGTTTTGATTACTTCTATGTACATTCACTTGAAGCGAAATGGTTTCACAAAGTCTGCTTCAAGCCTACCTTCACTGTGCCCCCGAATATTGTTATCTGGTCCTGCAGGTAGGGCCGTATTTTTATATTTGAGGTTGGTTTCCCTTTTCTGTGATGAGAAAAGTGATATGGACAATTTTATTGTAGGTTCGGAAATTTATCAGGAAACCTTGTCCAAGGCACTTGCAAAGCATTTTGGTGCTAGGCTATTGATTGTGGATTCTTTTACCCTACCTGGTGTATGCTTACTCAGTTATTCTTATTCCTGCTTCTCGTTCAGGATTGTTTTATATACATATCTAATAATCGTTCATGCTGTGCAATTAATTCTCAGGGAACACCGTCAAAGGATTCTGATTCTATTAAACAAGGTTTAAAGCCTGCAAAAGCGTATGTGCTTGCAAAACACGCAGCGCAGATTGCCAAATTACAGCATAAGAAACCAACTTCAAGTGTCGATGCTGATCTTATCAATGGATCCTCGTTAAGTTCTCAGGTTAAGCTGAAGCAGGAGGTATCTACTGCATCATCCAAAGGTCCTATGCTTAAAACAGGTAATTTTCCTCCAAATTGAGCACCCATCTTGGGTACTGATTTTGTTTGAAGTTAACATTGATTTCAACTTGTTTTTTTTTTTTAAAAAAAAAAGATTTATCGTATTTTTAAATTTTTATTTTGGATTATTTGCTTTTTAATTAGCTCAAGTCGCTGTTTTAATTATACTAGAGATATCCTATATTGAGCGGAACAAAGGTACCTTTTAGAGTTGGAATATGACTCTTTTCTCCTTCTTAACAGGAATATAGACCCTTTTAATGTTGGTTATGTAATTTGCAGGTGACCGAGTAAAATTTGTTGGTAACCTTCCCTCTGCAGTCTCATTATTACAAAATTATCCTTCTAGGTAAGTTGAGTTATTAAAGATGTTTATTAATTTTTTGTGTCATATCTTTGTTTTTTTCCTTGTTCTTGCAGGAAGCCTTTAAGTTCCATTGTGATTCTTCTTTTGTGTTGGTTAGGGGACCTAGGTATGGCTCCCGGGGCAAAGTTCTTCTTGCTTTTGAAGAAAATGAATCTTCAAAAATTGGGGTTAGATTCGACAAACCAATTCCAGATGGAAATGATCTTGGAGGCCTATGTGAAGATGATCGTGGTTTTTTTTGTTCTGGTGCTTTGTTAAATTTCTGTTCCTTTGTCTGCATGTTGACATTTTGCATACTACAGTTTTGGTGCTTGTGTTAAATATGTTTGCATTGTATGCTGCAGCTAATCATTTGCTACGGGTAGATAGCTCTGGAGGGGATGACACTAACAAGCTTGCTATTAATGAAATCTTTGAGGTGGTCAAAGTGCTATACCTGTTCAGTTATCGTCTTATTCCTGCAAAAAGTTAAATTGACTCCACATGATTTATGCTTTTCTGTGTACATAGGTTGTTTTTGATCAGAGTAGAAGTGGTGGGTTGGTGTTGTTCTTGAAGGATATAGAGAAGGCTGTGATTGGGAACTTAGAAGTCTTAAAAAGCAGGCTTGAAAGTTTGCCACGAAATGTAGTTGTAATTGGCTCACATACTCAGCTGGACAATCATAAGGACAAGGTGATGTTTGATGATTGTATTCTATAACTATTTCCAGGTTGGGGGATTTTCTGCTTATTTGTTTAAACTCAAAAAAGTGCTTCAGATTTTATTTGAAAATGATTTAATATTTTTGCGTTTGGTTGGAATCATGAATGCAAATTTTACTTGAAAGTGCTTCTCAAAATGATAAAAAAAAATTTATGTACGTATTTTAAAGATTTTGATTATTCTTAAAAGCTTAAATAAACATGACAATTTCTTACAAGTTTTTTTTTCTTCTCCCAAGTAAAAAAAGGTTTTTGTTTCATTTAAAGAAAAGCTGAAACAAAGAGGCCTTTATGATTTCACTTCATTGCTGCTGATTTTGATGTTGGCATTTTTATGCTTCCAGACGCAGCCTGGTAGCCTTCTGTTCACAAAATTTGGGAGTGCTCAGGCAGCATTGCTTGATCTTGCTTTCCCGGTATGGTAATCGTGGCCCTTGCTTCGAACCTCCTGCTTTAAACAGTGATGTAATTCTAGTTGATATCTTTTGTCTGTTAAAAAGTTATCCTGAGGTCCTTTTTTCTCTTTTTTTTTTTGGGGGGGGGGGGTGATTGATTGAAGTCACCAATAAGGGGGGGGGTTTTTTTTTTTTTTTTAAACATTACTGGAAAGTCAAAATAGAATTTGTGAGGACGTGTAAGTAAGCCACAAAAAGAAGTTGATATTCTGTTGGGACTGCAGCCCTTCATAGTTTTCAAGGTTGCTTATTCTCCTGCTACTTGTTTGGGATTACAAAACAGTGGATATCTTCCATGGATTTTGAGGGTTTTTTCTAGTTGTATTTCAAAATATTTCCTACTATCATGGCATTCATTATGTAGTCAGGTTCTTTCATTTCTTTGCCATGAATAATCAAAACAGTTTCCCCATGTTTAGGATAACTTTAGCAGATTGCATGATAGGAGCAAGGAAAACCCAAAAGTGATGAAGCAACTTGGCCGCCTTTTCCCCAACAAAGTATCAATACAGCCGCCTCAGGTATCATGGTAGATGAAATGTGTTGTCCAATTATAATGTTGCTATCTGTAGATTATATATCCATTTTCTCCTCCTAATTTGCGCAGGATGAGGGCTTGCTTTCTTATTGGAAGCAGCAATTAGAACATGACATTGAAACTATGAAAGCTCAATCAAATATTGTCAGCATTCGCACAGTGAGTGTTGCAATATCATCTTATCATTTTAATACTCCTTTTTTCTTGCTTGATGTTTTCTTTTACCGCTGCTTTATGTTGTGTTTGTTCTTGGATGAGGCCTTGTGAAATTATGGTGTTTTATCTGCCTGAATCACTTGGTATTTTGGAGGTATAATGCTTTTTCCCTCCTCCTATAGGAGGGTCAGGTCTTTTTAAATATTATTATTGGAGAAATCTTTCTTGTTCACTTATTTTGCAAGACTTCGCATGCCTATCCTGCTTTGATTTTGGTTTTCTGGCTTGCGCTACTTTTGCACTAGGGCCAGCAATTGCTATGTTAAATAAGCAAAGATTTTCAGAGACTTTCAGAGAACAAGCTATCTGCCCGTGGTTTATTGATGCCAGTTTGTGCTTTCATTTGTCTTAACACGATTTGTTCAATATTATAACATAATTTTCTCCTCGTTTGTTAAAATTCTCATGAGAATTTTCAATGATTACAGGTTCTCGACAAGATTGGATTTATTTGCCCTGATCTTGAAAATCTTTGCATTAAAGATCAAGCACTACCACCTGACAGTCTGTGTTTCTGAACCTGACTATTTTTCTAAACGCACAAATTTGAGGTTTGCTGCAACATTACTAATACTGCCTCAATTCTTTTCACTAGGTGTGGAGAAAGTTGTTGGCTGGGCATTAAGTTACCAGCTAATGCATTCATCTGAAGATTTAACTGAAGATTGTAAGATTGTGTTGTCTACTGAAAGGTCATTATTATCATTTTTTTGCCATTGCATCATATTGTCTTGTGAAAGTTGTGCAGCAGATTAAAATGAAATTTTTCACCCTTTAAATTTTTTTGATTAACTGAGTATTATCTTTTTTCCCCATTGGTGCAGCATTAAGTATGGGCTGAATATTCTACAGGACATACAAGGAGCAAGTAAGAACTTAAAGAAATCACTGAAGGTAATTTTATCATATTTCTTAGGATCTCTAGTCCTTTTCCATTCTCGTTGTTCAGTAAGCAGTTGCTTCACTGGGTTCTGCTTAGTTTCATTCTTAACATATTAAGGTAACAAATGTCAATGCCCTTGCACTATCTTTAAAAAATTGTATATGGGGTGAGAAAGATATTGAAATTCAGAGTCGTATGTAATGGGTTTTGATGAAAACATAGCTATTTTCCTCTGTTTTAAACTCGCAGAACAAAGAATTTATTGGCTCGGCTGCTGTCCTAGGATCTCAGCAGATCCGAGGTTACAATCAGACTCACTAAAATCAGGAAGAAAACTTCCCTAAAGACTTACACGAGATTGACGCAAGTAACAAAACAAAAAGGAAACAAAACAGAATAAAATCAGAAAAACTGAGTATGAGTGGCAGCAGAGTGAAACGCGAAGTATTAGGCTTGGGCTTTTAGGTTTCCAGCAGGTTTCTTTACTAAATTTTTCTAACTGATCTTTGAACTATATTTTTATTTTGTTTACAGGATGTGATTACTGAGAATGAATTTGAGAAAAAATTGCTAGCTGATGTTATTCCTCCACGTGATATTGGGGTCAAATTTGATGATATTGGAGCTTTAGAAAATGTGAAGGACGCCTTAAATGAATTGGTCATGCTTCCCCTTCAGAGGCCTGAATTGTTTTCCAAAGGACAGTTGACAAAGGTGGGATTTTGGGAATCTTTTCTTTTGTTTGCCATGTGCTTGCTTTCTAATTTCTAACTACAATTACTTTCTGTATAGCCTTGCAAGGGAATATTGCTTTTTGGGCCCCCTGGTGTTGGAAAAACAATGCTCGCAAAGGCTGTAGCTACTGAGGCTGGAGCGAATTTCATCAACATCTCAATGTCCAGCATTACCTCAAAGGTGTTAATTTTTATTAATTATTATTATTTTGTGTTATATTGTCTTTTTATTTGCTTTAGTGACATGATGCATACTCTTTGCAGTGGTTTGGTGAAGGAGAGAAGTATGTCAAAGCAGTATTTTCTCTGGCAAGCAAAATTGCTCCGAGTGTTATTTTTGTTGATGAGGTTCGTGTAAAAGCTTCCTATGTATTTTTCAGTGAAATATTCTATGTTAGTGTCTCTTGTATGATGGGAGTTCTTAGGATGTGATTAGTTCCAATGTCTGAATAACTCTTGTTATCTTGTCATTGTATGATTAACTCTTATTATTAACTGCTAGGTTGATAGCATGTTAGGAAGACGTGAAAATCCTGGTGAGCATGAGGCTATGCGTAAAATGAAGAATGAATTCATGGTGAATTGGGATGGTCTATGCACAAAAGACAATGAGCGCATACTAGTACTTGCTGCTACAAATAGACCTTTTGATCTTGATGATGCTGTTATTAGGAGGCTTCCACGGAGGTAAGCATGCTGTGTCTGATATCATCATCTATAAAATGCTTCATAGGTAATCTATTCTAATTTTTTCCTCTATATTTCTGGGTAATGTGCAGATTGATGGTCAGTTTGCCAGACGCTCCGAACAGAGAAAAAATTCTTAAAGTAATTTTAGCAAAAGAAGATTTGGCACCTGATGTCGATTTGGAGGCAATATCAAACATGACTGATGGATATTCTGGGAGTGACCTAAAGGTAAGGGACTCATGCTATGTTTTGGCTGTTGGTCATCGGAAAAAAGTAGCTTTTGCCTGCAATAATAGAAACACCATTTATGTTTTGGCTGCAGAATCTCTGTGTCGCAGCAGCTCACTGTCCAATAAGAGAGATATTGAAGAAGGAAAAGAAGGTCATTTTCATACAATGTTGTGTCACCTAGAAGTATTTTGGCTAGCTTCTTTTGTTGTTTATCCTCCACTTCATATCTTTAATACAAAGTGCTCATTAAAATCTTGACAAGTTGACCGTATTAATTAATTTTGTCGAATACTTTGCAGTTTCCTCCAGACTGTGGATATTGTATATTTTCCTTGTTCATTGCTTGAATCAACGTTTTGACATTCACCCATGTTTCAGGAGAGAAGTTTGGCGCTGGCTGAGAGCAGACCTTTACCTCCATTGTATGGCAGTACTGACATTCGGCCCTTAAAGATGGAGGATTTTAGATATGCACATGAGCAGGTATATGGCATTCATTACCCCAGGTTTTCGTTTTTTGGTCAGTCAATTTGTTTTCGGATCCAGGTAAGCCAAGCCTTTTGTGCTGTCATTGTTTCGGGGAATGGGGTGGGGGTGAGGTTGAGGTTTTGGGAAAAACTTCCATACTGGCTAACCAGAAATAGTGTGTGGCGAGTAGAATTCGCGCCAAATCTCTGCTTTTCCAAACCCCTTTAAAAGTCTCGCCCCAAGTCTCTGCTTTTCCAAAACCCTTTAAAAGTGGGATGGTCTGTTTTCATTTTACTCTCGTCCAATTGCTTATAATGGTTGGGATTAGTTATGCGTATTAAATATTCTTCCTTTGCGTAGGTGTGCGCAAGCGTGTCGTCAGAGTCAGCAAATATGAACGAGCTGCTCCAATGGAATGAGCTCTACGGGGAAGGTGGATCCAGAAAAACGAGATCGTTGAGCTATTTTATGTAAATCTGTGTATAGCATCATCTTTTCTTTGCTTAGGCTATCTATAGCCTTATTTGGTGTGAAAAGTTTAGTGACCCGTTAAATTCAATCACGGGAATTCCTTCTTCGAGCTTGCCCCGACATCACTACTTACTTAGCTGCCATCCTCACTGCCAAATTTTGGATACCCTGTTAGAAATATATAGAATTTCACTAGCCATAAGTTAAATTAGGGCTTGTCCTTTCTCTCCCTGGATCCTTTGGGCTGTCCTGTTCTGAGCTTGTGATTGTAAATATCAAGTTAGCTAAGATAATTAAGTCGATCTATTCCCCAGACTAACGCCATATACTCAAGATGTGTCTTGTACTCTGGTGTTCGAAGAGTAAGTAAGATTTCGCCGCACATCCAGTGACAGTCAGGAAAGTACGGTTTGCTCATTTATAATTCAGTAAAATACATCAATCTTTCCTCTGTTAATTTAAATTACTTTTTATTTTAAAAACTCACACTAACCGTGAGATTTAAATTTTACCTATACCAACTTTGACTTTTATTTTGATCAAAATGCTCATTCTTAACACAAATATTAATAATTATCATGTGGTCATATGACATGTCTTTGTCCGAGATAAAAAGTAAATACATATTTTAATGTTTTTTATTCAATTGATTACCATATCACAAATTTAACTGATTTAATAAATATAAATTTTTATTTTTCAATAAATTCTTGTTTATTTATCAAGTCCTGTTTTTAATGTAATTAAGGGCAAAGTCTAAACAAGATTTATTAGAATATGATTTTAATTAGAAAATATACTTAAAAATTATTTTTAGAATATTCTTTAACAGGACTGATGGTTTAAATTAAAATGTACGTTTTCAAAGTTGAAATAATATCTATGTAATTGAGACAAAACCAAAGAGTGGGTAAAATATTTTATTTTTTTAAGAATTAATTAGAACTTTTCCGTCTCCTCGACATCCCCGGTATAAATTAAGATCACTATTAGTCTTAAGTCGTTTTATCGACTCTTCTGCATTTGATTATGATTTTGTTTTAAAGAAAAAAATGGCTCTCTGCACGTTGTTAGTCGGTTTAATAATCTAGTCTGTATACTTTAAGACTGATAAAAGCCTCCATTTCCTACTATACAAATATATAAATATATATATCATCAATATATATACACATATACATGTACGTATGTTGATGAATTTTTAACTACCATTACCATCACATGTCAAACGATTATATTTTTTTGCAAACATGTTGCTTTTTTTTTTTTGGTAAGATGTAAACATATTGCTTTGTTTATACTACTCTCAGTTCTTAATATAAAAGTTAAGTGATATATGTTGTATTTCTCAAAATATTTTTACTAATAATGTATATTAGTTAAAATACCATTTGATGAAACTTTTTAAAATTTATAACTACGACAATGACTACTTAAAAAAATAAATAAATATGGGAGATGAAGTGGACTGATGTTTTATATTTTTGATCAAATTGAAACTAGTAATATATTAAGGACAGGAGGTAGTAATATATTACGGAATACGAGGTAGATATGTGCGAGGGGTATTGTATCGACGTACATAAAACATGCTTATAAGTAATTTTAAACATGATTCTAAATGGAGTTTTAATAGTTTGAGCTTATTGACATCAAGCCTATTACCCAGTGAGAATATAATGCTACTATTATTATCACCTTAGATCCGTCTAATAATTCTGTCGGGATGAGGTGTTTTAAATGCTTCGGAAGCATAGGAAGTTTTAAATACAATCAAATAGTATCCGCTTAGTTTTGAATTAGGGAGTGTTTGGATAGAAACCAAACCATGGTTTCAGAAGTGTTTTTACGGATTACGAAATAAATATGTGGAGAAAGTTATCTCGTTTTGCGGAAAAGTACTTCTGAAACCACGGTTTTAGAGCACCCAAACAAGCCCTTAGTCCGCTAATTAATTGTAGGTGCGTCCATATTTTGCAGACCCAGCGTGCAACAATTAAGAAGTTTCAGGTCTCATCTGTTTACTTTTATAAAGTTCTTATTTACAAATCTTAATTTGATTTGCATTAAATTTCCATGAATGTATAAGATGAAGATGTAAAACTGTCCCATACATATGCCAAAAGTAAATACATCTTATCGTGGAACAACTAAGATTAGTCTCGTCCTCTGCGATTGGCAAACAGAAAAAAAAAAAGTTGCAGTCTCCTCATTTAACAGTTATTTATGATCTGAATGTAGAGTTTATTTAAACTCACAAGCTTCACAACCTTATTTAAACCACTAATATTAATTTAGGTAATAAAGCCGAAGAAGGCTGAGATATAAATAATTGAAAGCTTCCTCTGTTAGATATTTTATTATAATTATTATTTAGATATATATTAGGAGATTAATAAAATACTCTGAGTGTGGCCCTTTCAGTCAAACAAGGCCCAAGCCCAGTAGGGTTAAGCTTTTCAGTCTATATATGTGTTGATAACTCTCTGATGGTGAGACACACAACAATTGAGTTGACGGCTGAATATTCTGTGAGTGAGTGAAATACCTATCTGCTCCTTTGAGGTTCCCTGACTAGTGACGGCTAATCCAGTTGCCATCACTGTGCCCTATTCCAGTCAGAAGAGACCTGAACAACTCTTTTCTTCTAACTGTTGTTCTCTTTTGCAGCTCTATTCCCCTATCTCAGATCCCGAGATAATTCAAGATAAGACAAATGGCAAGAGGTACACAAAGATTCTTCCGCTGTATTATTTTATGAGAAGATTCACATCTCTTTATTGTTTAATTTATTTGTATTGTGAATCTGTCTTACACGTGGTATCAGAGCCTGGTTTAATTATTCTCTGCCTCTTTATTTTCCTTATCTGGGATGATCTGAGCATAAAATGGAATACAATGCCTTGTCGTTGTGACTCACATCGGGTTCCATTAGCAGATCAGAGATAGTTATTTTATACTGCAAGTTATTCTAATTGAAAATTAAATCCAGTTCTATACGTTCTATATTTTTCACGTTTTCGGATGAATGGGACGCGAGGAGATGAATAATTGTTCCTCCAATGATCGCCGTCACTGACTCCATCACCATTTGGGGACCCGAATCATTGCGTTTTATGCTTTATTTGTTCAAAGGTTAAACTTTATCTACGTTTTGTTTCCTTTTGATTCGGTACATGTCGAAGAGTTGTGTTTTGGACAGTTGGGACGGAAAAGAAGAGAACACTCAACTCTTCGATGATCACCGTCGCCACCTCCGTCGGACCTTGGGGAACCAAAAACGCTGCTCTTTCATTCTTCCCTTTTATTTCGTTTTTTTTGGCCCCTTTTACCATTTAAATCTCGTTCCATGTTGTTTTTTGTGAATTGCGCCATTAGAAACAGAGAGAAACGATGTCTTTTGGCCGGAAAATGGCGCTTTTAACACCGGAAAATAGCCCAGAACCGCCGGAAACCATGGCTGGCGCCGGCGGCTGCGAAAGGGCCCCGAACCGGGTCGCAAGCGGGTCTGGAATCGGGTTAACCTAACCCGATTCCATGAGGAAGGAGACCCAGCACCAGAAACGCCGCCGTTTTGGGTTTGAGAATGCTTCTTTGTTTGGTTCTAAAAACGGCGTCGTTTCAGGCTTAAGTGAAACTCAGCGTTTCACTTACTCAGATTTTGGGCCGGCCATTTTGGGCCGCGTTTCGGGCTTTATAAAAAAAAAAAAATTGTTTGGACCAAATGGGATTTCTGGGTTTTGTAATCATATGTTTTTTATTTTCGAACTGGGCCGAGGATTTTTTTTTTTTACAGAATTATTTTTTTCCTCTCTGTTTGCTATCTGGGCTGCAACTGTGCGTCTTGGGCTTGCTGTTTTTGCACAGAAATCAATTTTTGGTCACTGTTTGGTTACTGGGCTTCTGTTTTGGGCCAGAACAATTATTTTGTTATTTGAATGTTCCTTTTGGGCCTATTTTGATTAAACTCTGTTTAGCCCATTTATTATTATTTTCCAGAATCAGTTCATGTTAAATAAATAATTAATTGCAAGTTATTTATTTATTTGAAAATAGTTTTCACATGTAATTTATTTTTATGCAAATATTTGAATTGTTTAAATAAAGATAAAAGTTAATCTTAGCTATTTCATATCCTTTGTAAATTTGCAAAATTGTTTGTTGAAAAATTGTTTATTTGCCTAAATTTTTGGATACTAGATTTTGGGCAATTTGGTTATTTACTTGAATTTTGCAATGTTCATTTTTAGAAAAAATATGCTGAGGTTAATATTTAAACAATTATTTGGATGCATAAAAATAGTGGGAGAATTTAGTTCAGTTATTTACTTGTTGATTAAATTAATTGCTTAAATTCTCCATTGAGATGTGCATATACTGGACTTAAATGCACTTGTATGATATTTGTGATTAGCATGCTTCTTTAAGGAGTAGCCACAGCATCCTTTATCTATTGCATGCGATATAAATCACATAATGGACTTATAAAATATCAATTGTAATTAAATATGCATTTATAATTCATCTTTGCCCACAGGTAGATAATTATCAATGTATATTTAATTAGGGTGGGATAGAATTGCCTTGTATTTTCTAAGTAGCCCACAGGTATTAGGAAATATAAATGCGTTCTAGTTCCATCAATATGAGATAAATACATGCTATGCTAATTTCTTTGCCCACAGGGAGAACTTAGTGATACGTATTTATATTTGTATGCTTTATTAATGTTTTAAGCATACATGGCACAGTTATTGTGAATTGTCTCTATTTATTTGGAAGTTTGACTGATTCTCTAATATTGCAGCTGCATTTACTGTCCCTAACATTGTTGCTGATGCTAGTAACAAAATTATACTTGATGGTACTAACTACCCTGATTGGAGGGAAGACATTGCTTTACATCTCGGTTGTCTGAACATGGACTATGTCCTGGAAACTGAAAGGCCTCCCAAACCAGCTGATGGCTCGACTGACAAAGAGGCCAAAGAGTATTATGAATCCTGGGAGAAAAACAATCGCCTTACTCTCCTGCTGATCAAAACAAGGATTGCTAGGAGCATTCGGGGAGCAATCCCTAAATGCGAAACTGCTAAAGAATACCTGGAAGCTGTGGACAAACAGTTCAAACCGACAGACAAGCAGATGGGGGGCACCATTATGTCGGAATTATGTGCCATGAGGCTTACAGGTATAGGCGGTACTAGGCAGCATATAATGAAGATGAGAGATTTATCCTCTCAGTTGAAATCCTTCGATATGGAGCCTACTGAGCAATTCCTGGTGCAGTTAATCCTGAACTCCCTTCCTCCTCAGTTTGATGCCTTTAAAGTATCTTACAACACACATAGGGAGAAATGGTCAGTTGATGAATTGCTGTCCATGTGTGTGCAAGAAGAAACTAGGCTGTTGATGAGTGGAAAGGGTGCACCTAAGGAAGCTCATCTGGGAGAAAGCTCCAATAGGGGTGGTAGTAAGAAGGGAAATAAGGATGACAAGAAGAAAAGAAAGAGAAGAATTCCCCCTGCCACCGCCTTAAATAAGAAGGATGCCAAATGCTTCTTCTGCAAGAAGAAGGGGCACATGAAGAATGAGTGCTCCAAGAGGAAGGCATGGCTTGAACGTAAAGGTATGTTTACTTCTCATGTTACCTTAGAATCTCATGCTATTAATGTTGATGATGACACTTGGTGGATTGATACTGGTTCAATGATCCACATTTCCACAACCATGCAGGGCTTCTTAACAAGCAGGCCACCACATCCGAGTGAGGAATGGGTTCTATCAGGCAGCAGGAACCCAGACCGTGTGGAGTTGGTTGGGACTTATCGCATTTTTTTGAATAATACTCATGTAGACCTTTTTGAGACTTTTTATATTCCGACATACATGAGGAACTTAATTTCCATTTCAAAATTAATTCCGTTGGACTATGGTTTATGTCTTGAGAAGGGCTCTATGTTTTTGAGCAGACATCATGTTAAGATTGCAGACGTTGCAATGATTGATAATTTATTTAAAATTATTCGTGATCCTGTTCAATCTTTTAATATTTCGCGTGGTATTAAACGAAGTGTCATCAATGAGAATTCTATTAGCTTGTGGCATAGGAGATTGGGACATATCTCCATTGATAGAATCAAAAGGTTAACTAAGGAGGAAATACTTCCACCCTTAGACCATTCAGAATTTGATTCTTGCGTGGACTGCATAAGGGGAAAGCAGACCACTAAGTCACAAAAGGGAGCTAAAAGAAGTTCTGAATTGCTTGAGATTATACATACCGATATTTGCTGCCCTGATTTAACCGCACACGGTCAAAAGTATTTTATCACCTTTATCGATGATTACTCGCGCTACACGTATATCTATTTGCTTTATAATAAGAGCGAGGCACTAGATGCCTTTAAGGAATATAAAGCAGAGGTAGAAAAACAAATTGGGAAACCAATTAAGATTGTAAGATCTGATAGAGGTGGTGAATACTATGGTAGGTACACCAATGAAGGACAAGCACCTGGTCCTTTTGCAGAATTTCTTCGAGAGCAAGGTATAGTTGCTCAATATACCATGCCTGGCTCACCAGACATGAATGGTGTAGCTGAAAGAAGAAATAGGACCTTGCTGGACATGGTTAGGAGCATGATGAGTGGCTCCAAACTTCCAATTTCTCTATGGAAAGAAGCACTCAAGACAGCTGTATACATTCTAAACAGGGTTCCAACAAAGGCAGTGCCTAAAACACCCTTTGAAATCTGGAAAGGTTGGAAACCCAGTTTGAATCATTTAAGGGTATGGGGCTGTCCTGCAGAAGTAAGAGTGTACAACCCACAGGAAAAGAAATTGGACCCTAAGACTATTAGGGCCTACTTTGTAGGCTATGCAGAAAAGTCCAAGGGTTATAAGTTTTACTGTCCGCCTCCTTCAAAACGATTTGTGGAATCTAGGAATGCTAAGTTTCTTGAGAATGATGTGATTAGTGGGAGTGATCAGATAGGAATTGATCACATAGAAGAGACCACTAGCACAAATGGTGAGGGAACATCAATTGTCAATGACTCTTCTTTTAGAGCTATCATACAACATGATGTGGATCCCATAACTCAAGTTGATGATGCTAGACATCAGGAACATATGCAAGCTGACCAACCTGTCACAGAAGTGGAACCACCACAGAATGTGATAGAGGATGTTCCTGATGAGCAACCTCAGCCAACTCAAGAAGTTGAATTGAGGAGATCAACTAGAGAGAGAAAGCCGGCATTGCCTAGTGACTACGTTGTGTACTTCACTGAAATTGACTGTGATGTTAATATTGAAAATGATCCTTTGACCTTTACTCAAGCCATGAAGAATGAGAATTGCAAGTTGTGGCATGATGCCATGGTCGATGAAATGAACTCTATGGCAAACAACCATGTATGGGAGCTTGTAGAGTTACCTAGTGGGTCTAAAGCCATTGGCTGTAAGTGGGTTTACAAAACCAAAAGAGACTCACGAGGTAACATTGATCGTTACAAAGCAAGGTTGGTTGCCAAGGGTTTTACGCAAGTGGAAGGAATCGACTACAGAGAAACATTTTCTCCTGTATCAAAGAAGGATTCATTCCGCATTATCATGGCATTAGTTGCACATTTTGATATGGAATTGCATCAAATGGATGTTAAAACTGCATTTCTCAATGGTGATCTTGACGAAGAGGTCTATATGAAGCAGCCTGAGGGATTCATTGCGAAAGGCAAAGAAAACTTGGTATGCAAGCTAACGAAATCAATATATGGTTTAAAGCAAGCCTCACGACAGTGGTACTTGAAGTTCCATGAGGTGATCACATCATTTGGTTTCGATGAGAACATCATGGATGAATGCATATACCACAAGGTTAGTGGGAGCAATATCATATTTTTGATTTTATATGTCGATGACATATTACTTGCAACCAATGATCTAGGACTATTGCACGAGGTGAAACAGTTCCTGTTTAAGAACTTTGATATGAAAGATATGGGTGAGGCATCTTATGTCATTGGCATTAAGATCCATAGGGATAGGACTCAAGGTCTTTTAGGCCTGTCTCAAGAAACCTATATAAACAAAGTTCTTGAACGATTCCGGATGAGGAACTGTTCAACCAACGTGACTCCTTTAGAGAAAGGAGACAAATTCAGTCTAGATCAGTGTCCTAAAACCGAGCTCAAGAAAAAGCAAATGGAAAGGATCCCATATGCCTCAGCAGTAGGAAGTTTAATGTATGCACAGGTTTGCACTAGACCTGATATAGCCTTTGCTGTGGGCATGCTGGGAAGGTACCAAAGTAATCCTGGTGAGGCGCATTGGACAGCTGCAAAGAAAGTGTTTAGATACCTACAAGGGACTAAACACTACATGCTTACATATAAGAGGACAGAGAATCTAGAAGTGACTGGTTACTCAGACTCTGATTTGGGAGGATGTTTGGACACAAATAAGTCTACGACTGGTTATATCTTCCTACTAGCAGAAGGAGCCATATCATGGAAGAGTACAAAACAAACTCTAACAGCTCCTTCTACTGGTGATGCTGAGTACATTGCGTGTTTTGAGGCAAGTTCACAAGCGATCTGGATAAAGAATTTCATTGCTGGGCTTAAGATTGTTGATTCGATCTCTAGGCCGATCAGAATGTACTGTGATAACACCGCTGCAGTGGCCATAGCCAACAACAAGAGGAATAAGAGTCGAAGTAAGTTTGTCGAATTGAAATTCCTATGCTTGAAAGAAAGGGTTATGGATGGCCAAATTTCGGTTGAATACATCGGTACAAAGGAAATGCTAGCTGATCCTTTGACTAAGGGGTTGAAACCGAATGACTTTGTTTCACACGTACCTCACATGGGACTTCGTCCTCCAATTGATTAGTTGAGGTATGAGCAATGAAATTTATGGTTTGTCATCTCTTGTTATGATTGTATATACATTTGTGTTTGAGGTTGATAAACATAAAGTAGGAACCGAACAAAATTGAGTTTGTTCATAAAGGTATACCCATTAAGTAAGGATGCTGCCTGTGATGCATGGAAGATAATACCCGACTTGAGGGGACTTGTCGCCATGATTCTTGCAGTATAGCCTTAGCTTACTGAGGCACGGCAATTGACATACGTATAAGGGCCAAGTGGGAGAATGTTAGATATTTTATTATAATTATTATTTAGATATATATTAGGAAATTAATAAAATACTCTGAGTGTGGCCCTTTCAGTCAAACAAGGCCCAAGCCCAGTAGGGTTAAGCTTTTCAGTCTATATATGTGTTGATAACTCTCTGATGGTGAGACACACAACAATTGAGTTGACGGCTGAATATTCTGTGAGCGAGTGAAATACCTATCTGCTCCTTTGAGGTTCCCTGACTGGTGACGGCTAATCCAGTTGCCATCACTGTGCCCTATTCCAGTCAGAAGAGACCTGAACAACTCTTTTCTTCTAACTGTTGTTCTCTTTTGCAGCTCTATTCCCCTATCTCAGATCCCGAGATAATTCAAGATAAGACAAATGGCAAGAGGTACACAAAGATTCTTCCGCTGTATTATTTTATGAGAAGATTCACATCTCTTTATTGTTTAATTTATTTGTATTGTGAATCTGTCTTACATCCTCCTCTCTTCTTGTATTTACTAACACTATCTCCAGTCAGAACTATCCACATGGTGCAAAATTAAGGACAAAGAAAACAACAATTCCTTGTTAATTAATATTGGTTAAATTTAGAGAGTATTTTACTACTCTGTCCTATAAAGCTTAATACTATAAATTTATTTATAGGTAAATTTTATAACGTGAAAGAAATCAGAATTTACAAGAGCATGTGGCACACAGATTTTTAGACAATTTATTTCGGATACGACATTAATCATTTTCCAAAATTTGGCCCCCATTAAGTAAATCCAGGGATTACTGAAAATCAGAATCAGAATTGAGACATGAACGAAGATTGTTGCGTGGGGGAAGCGGAAGCTTCCCGCGGACGATTCATTAAATATCTGGTCACGTAGGGAAGGTAATTGGAATCTCAGTCATTTTCAATGAAATAAACAGTAATACTGGCGAACGGAAAGAATGGACGTGAACGTGACGTGAGGGGGAAAAGTGCGAGACGCAGTTCGTCAATTGTCAATTTCGGGAGAAGCGCGTGTATTTTGACTTGTGGAAAGGAAATATTATTAGTTTTGAGTAATTTTGTAATTATTATAACAACAAGCGTCGTCGGACGTGAATGAGCCAGCACCATCAAATGAGCTAGTTAACGCAGATTCTCTTCCCCTGGGGGCTAAAGCTTCCGTTAACCTTCGATAACCATCGTTCTTGCTGCTAATTGTCGTCTCCGTCGCAGATTATGGAGTCTATGTCCCACTCTTCGACCTTTCTTCTGCCTGTGATTCCGCCGGAGAAGAACCGCCCTTCCTTAACCAACGCACTCGTTATTCTGAACCAGCGTCTACCGAGATTCGCTCCTCTGCTTTGGGAGCACGGTACCTTGTTCCTGCCCCTCAACTCTCTCCCTTTTATTTTGTGGATGGACTTTGATTTCTTTTCAGTTTAAATTCTCTGAGGTTTAATGTATTTTTATTCTTTCATTGCCGCTTTCTGTTTTTCTGTACCACAGCACAAACACGAGTTTGCGCTGATGGAGGTGCCAATCGTTTGTACGATGAAATGCCTCTGCTCTTGCCCCATGAAGATGCCTCACATGTTCGAACCAGGTTCATTTTCTACTTCGAATGGTTTCTTAGCTAAATGACTACTTAAACCAGATAATTTTCACGCCATTTGCCTGTCTAGTCCATCGTCTCTCTTCGCCTAACTTTTTTTTTTGATAGTGTGGTACTTTCTTTCTGGTGTATTTTGAGTGATTGTTTTGTATATCCAAGGGATTACCTGCCTTTGTGCTTTAACAATTAGTTTTTCCCACCGAATGGTGCGAGGACAATGGGGTATATTGGAATGAAGTTTTAACCACTTAATCTTCCGTGTAGAGGGGGAACGGAGCAGTGAAATTATGCTAGGGATTTCTCTCTAGTAAAACATGCCATATTTTGAGGAATTGGGCTTTGAAAACTTACATAGCCAATATGGTTAGGCTAGTGAGGAACCATGTTTTGAAATTACATTGATTAAAGGGGTAAATAACTCTAGTAATCATTAAGTAATTTATAAAGTTAAGTCTTAAATACATTCCCAAATAAGGTACCTTCAGGATCTTCTGAGTTAAGGCAGATTGGTTGCCCTAGGTCTTGAACGCCTGAAGCCAACATTTCAAGAATTTGCTATCGTGAAGTGATTAAGATGCTTGGCATTAGCTATGGCTTGTGTTATTCATAAGGAAGAAGAAGCAAGCTGATTTGATTCCCAAGTCTTTGTTCTTTAAGTCTTAGTTCTTAGTCTTCTCACTGCCTCTGCATTCGTGTTTTCATTGCATCTTGGATGTTTCATTTGTAAATTTTGGTTCCTAGTAACTAGGTTAACTTAGGATACTAGTTGTAAATACATGCTAACTGGTCTTGTGCATATTCTTATACTTGTGCATACTTGAAATACCTGTACATCGGAATATAAATGAGAATAATCTATATAAGAATGAAACTTTACTTATTATGTTATTTCCTGTTCAACTAATGCACCTGTTAACTTGTACATATCCAAGATACTGACATCAAAATTTTAGCTTGATTCATAAAAAGCCTGAGAATCCTCTCATGCAGATTTCTTGAATGTTATTGTGTACTTCTTGTTGTTGTTGTTGGTTTTCTATGCCTGAATTCTTTCAGTTGGTTGGATTTTTCTACTTTTAGCCTTCTTCTCTACTTCTCTGTCTGACCAAAGAATATTTTGGGATGGTTGCTTTCATGATAAGATGGTTTTGATACTATGCTGAAGCCTTTTTAGCACGATCAATGATGGTTGGGACGTGGTAGTTTCATAGTGTGGGACAAGAAGGCTGAGGATTATGAACTCTTATAATAAATTTATTATATACATCCCTCTGATGTTTATGATTGATAAATTAGTCAGTGACCTGCTGAGAGGTTTGGAAGTAACTGGTGGTATGACTTTGAAATTTTGTATCTATTCTGGCGCAGGTTTTCTCAAATGCTACTGGTACTGTTAATGTTTTAGTTGATAGAATTGGAAAATGCAATTGAAATGCAAGATTAAAAGAGATGTTCTTAACTTTCAAAATCCTTTTCCATTTTTTTTGATATGATTGAATATAGAAATGGAAAAATCAATTCCTTTCCATTCTAATTGTGGACGCTTAAATTGTAAGCGCAGCCTTAATCATTGCAGATTATTATTTGACAATGTTTAGGAAGTTATATGGCTGTGCATATTTATATGGTTTTCTGATTGTTGTGCCAGAACAAAAATATCCACGCTATCATCTCAGAAAGTCATTGTGCTGCAAGTGTTCAATAGATATATTACTCCAACCATTGTTACTCACAGACAGTGCCCTCGCTTCTTTTCTGTTTATTTGTTTCGAATCATAGGATTGAGTTACTGGGTACCATATTTGATATTTCATCCATCTCATCTCATCTGTATTATGCTCACTGTTTCACTGACAGGAATACGCAGTCTGTCTTATATCTCTTCTATAAGTAGCAGTCAACCACATCTGTGAATTGATTGGTTAAAATATTTTCATTACATGCTTCTGTAGACAGAGTTTCTTGCTTTTAATCAATATCAGTGGTATAAGCTATTTAAATGAAATTGTCACTTAATCATCTTATAATTCCACTCCTGATCTATGGAGTCAAGTTGCTGGAGGATTGGACTAGATGATGCAATTTTGATTTTCTAGCTAGCGTGTTGCAGGCAATTCGTTTGTTGCTTCTTCTTTTTCTTCTTCTTTTTTTTTCTTTTTTTATGGCAGTAAGGTTACAATAACTCAATAGGTTTCTATCAGGTACGTGCCAGATGCAATTAAAGGTGACATGGATTCAATACGATCTGAAGTACTTGGCTTCTATAAAGTTCTGGTATGGCTTTGTTTCTCTGTTTGCATAGGATATTCTTTTCTCTCTGTTGGATTATGTGCGTGATGTCTCCAAACTGGCAGTGATGAGTTCAACTTTCTTGTCAATACCTTGTTGTCATTTGCTTTATTCTTAACGTGCAATCTTTCTACCATGTATGCTTGTTTGCAGGGAACTAAGATAATAGATGAATCTCATGATCAGGACACCACAGATTTGCACAAATGTGTTGCCCACATCCGTGACTGTACTTCAGATATGGATAAGTCATCAGTAAGTTAAATCAATTCAAACTTCTTGTTTTCTACGTCTTTGATTTAAGTTTTGATGGTGAAGAACTATTATGTGTATTTAATCGTGTCTTGTTGCTTTAACTTTTAAGAGAGCAGTCTTGGTCATGAATGCTCTATGGCGCCATAATTGATTTTTAAAAAAAATTAATTTCTTCATTTCTTGTAATGTCTTGCAGCTAAGGATTCTTGTAACTGGAGCACTTGGTGGGCGATTTGACCATGAGATTGGAAATATAAATGTTCTGTGCCGTTTCTCTGATACTCGAATTATTCTTCTATCTGACGATTGCCTCATTCACCTTCTTCCAATGAATTATCATCATAAGATCCATATTCAATCTTCCGTCGAGGGTCCACACTGTGGACTCATCCCCATTGGGATGCCATCTGGAAGTTCTACTACCACTGGACTCCAGTGGGATCTCAGTAAGTATATAAGATATGCATTATTATTATATGATTGCTATTTTTAGATTTTTTTATTTCTAAGCTTTAATTGAATTTATATAAAAGGTGCTTGCCTTGACATTTCATGAATGGAATGTCAATTATTGTCTGCGAGATTCCTCAATGAAAAGTTGAGTTTTTCATATGGTAGGAGTAGTTAGTGTACTGCAATTCGGCAATGACTTTCCTATCCTGTGTTCTGAGTGATAAACTGCACTTATTAAAGGATGATAATCATTGCTCGCGAGATTCCACCATGAAAAATCGATTTTCATGTTGTGCAAAGAGGATTCACGCATCTCGTGTTATGAGTGATCAACTAACTAATTGGCAATTTCTGAGAACACATAATGGGAAAATATGATGCCATGCTTTGATGGGGCAGATGGTTCTGATGCATCATCTTTTCACTATTTTATTAATTCATCCTCAGCCTGCTGTTATCTAGCGTATGAGGAATCTAATACGTAACATCTTAATTTATCCGTTTCAGATGATACCGAGATGAAATTTGGTGGTTTAGTAAGCACATCGAATATTGTAAAAGGAGAGGTAGTCACAGTACAGTCGGATTCAGATCTTCTGTGGACAATTTCTATCAAGAAGCCCTAGTATTTTTGATGATTCAGGACACATTTGATCTTTCGGATCTATCATATCTGCGCAGATGAATCCTACAGGCTATTTCTTTTTCCAACATTTCTGATGTTCTATTTTGTTCTTAACTCTGTGCATAAGGGGAGGTGTATTTGATTGACTTTTAGATGTCTAGGAATGTTGAAATTCTATCCCTTACTACTCTTGGAATCTCTCTCTCTCTCTCTCTCTCTCTCTCGGAAGTTACATTCCTTAGCTCGTGTATTATGCCGCTGAGTGAAATTAGCGGGAAAATATGCCGCCAAAAGACTAAGCAGATGAAGGATCATCCGGTGGACTGTTTCTGGTAATCATCCATCTTTTCGGCAGCGAAGTAGAACGCAGACAACGAGAAGGGCATATTTATTAATATATATGCTCCCTTATGGGCCTTCACTATTTGTGTTCTAGTGACACGATGTGCAGTTAATAGGACAGCTGCATGGCGTAGCTGGCTTGGTTAGTATCTGGGGACTGAAGTTGCTTCGGCCCAAAACAGAAAATATGTAGACTTGACTATCTGGTTCTGGGAAAATGAGCATAGAGAGCCTTTTTCGGTTGGAAAAGGGGGCAGTGAACGTTGGGAGCTTAAAGGCTAGTGAATTCACAAGGACTCTGTTAGAAGGGAGTGTTTGAATAGAAGTCAAATTATAGTTTTAGAAGTGATTTTACAGTATACAAAATAAATATGTAGATGAGTTTGTTTCGATTTGTAAGAAAATGTTTTTAAAAAATATTTTTTTCAGGGATCCAAACACCGCTCAAGGCAAGTAAATTCTTGGGTTCTCCTAGAGTACCGTATCATTTGTGCTTCCAAGTTCCAATCGAGACATCCAAGTCATATAACGGGGCCCACTTTTTCTACACGGAAAAACTTTGGAATTGAGGGGAAAAAAGTGATTTTGATTGTAAAGAAGGTGTTGGGAGAACTTTCAGGTAAAATTGGGGATGTGTTGAAAATAATTCACTTTTGCCCATATTTACTTCGACCACTTCTTTATGTTTAATTAATCAGAATCATTTTTTTCTTTTGCTTTTAAACAAATGGCCCCGTAAACAGCTATGAAATCAATCCGGAGGGAAAAAATGCCGTAGCAGAAGAAAAAAAGTGATAAACAGGCAGTGATCCATTGAGGTATTGTATGGCTAGTTTAAAGCTCTCGTGCTTCAATAATAAAAAAGGAAACGTAAACCACGAACAAGAAAAAAAGTTGGGGAATGGGATCGCCAGCTGCATTTAGGGGATATTTGGATGGAAACCAAACTATAGTTTCAGAAGTGCTTTTACGGTTTACGAAGTAAATATGTGAAGGAATTTGTCTCGTTTTGTGAAAAAGTGCTTCTAACAAGCACTTTTGAGGGTTGCCAAACATTCCTTTAATAACGAAGCTCACATAAAAATAGTTTCTCTAGACCTCATCTTCCCCCAAAGAAGCCAGTGTCCTCATCTCCGTGAGTCGAGATTGAAAGAAGCAAACTGGCAGAAAAATCTCATTTTCCATGTTTGAATTGAAATGCAAATTAATGGAACGTAGTATTACTCCTTTTTAACACTATGATGTTTAATATAATAGCTAATTATTAAATTAGTTTTAGTTTCAAATATAAGATCTATTTCTTATATTTATCAGTACTTCTTAAATTACCCCTATAAATATTCCTTCAAATATAATCAAGTAGAAGAGAGAGGGATGATATTAAGAAAGATGATTAAAGTGTTTTAGGAAAAACATGTCATATTTATTATAATTAACTAACCTGTCTAACTTTTTTAATTTAATCAAATTAGTTAAATATGTTTTATATTAAGGACTGGAGAAGTATAAAAGTTAGTTTACTAATTTGAATAGATTAAAAAAATTAGTTAAGTTAGTTATTTGTAGTAAATATATGATATTTTCTAAAATATCTTTGCTAATCAAGTATATTAACTAGACTATCATTATTACAAGAACTATCTTAGAAAAATAGATAAATATAAGAGACAAAATGAATTGAAATATTATATTTGTGATCAAAATAAAAATAAAATTTTTTTTTATATTAATGATAGGAGGTAATAGTTATTACTGCTGTCAGCTCATTGAAGTTGAAAATATAGGTGGCCTGGTGGTAAAAGTGACAGAACATTGTAGGGAGGAGAATCAAAAGGGGGGTTCCTTTATTGACGCATGGGCTTCAAATGTTCTGTAAACAATCTCCATTTATACATCTTCAATTATGGATATCAATCAAGGGTGACATTGATAAAAATACAAACTTAAATTACTAAACATGCGACAGACCTTAGGAACTGTTCATTTTGGAAGATATGGGATGGCTATCCATATCCTCCTAAATGCTAAGAGGAAAGTGAAATCTCAAGATATGATCTCGAGGGTATTATTAGCATCTATGAATAATTATAATATTTTCGGCGCCATAAATGTTTATTTTTGAGTCTAATAACTTGTTTTAGTATATTTCTTGCATGAGTTAGGGACTCTTTGAAATAGCGATAAAAAACATTTATAAGTATATTTTATGCAAGTCAAGATAAAATTCTTCTCACATATTTATCTTGTATTTTGCAAATTATGATTGAAGATCTATTTATAAATTATTCCAAATAATAACTATCACATTATTTCATGTTCAATCTTTTCTTTTCTTTTCCTTGGCATGCTTTGATTGAGAATCATTTTATGAAAGAATGACAGAAAAAGAAGTTGAAAATTACAAATCTCAAATCAGGTTTGGTAACACAATTTTATTTGGTATTGACAAATCTGAATTTACAAATAACAACAAATTTTTGTTAACGTTTCTTGTCTGATATTTACAAAATTTTAGCTTTTTTTTTCTGTCATTATCCCTCGTTTATGATGAAACAAAGTTAAGGGATACATTTTAAAATTTTAAAAATATTTTAAATATGGATTAAATAAACAAACGGGTTAAAATTTTTTAATCAAAAATTGATGAGATAGATCATCAAAATAGTCAGACGCAGCCCCTCGGCTCGGGCGGTTTCGGTACGGAAAAGGCCACCGTTCCGCTTGGCCGGCTATTTTTTCCCGAGGTAGGCAGGCTGTGAAAAAATTAACTTCGTTCCCGCTTCGGTTTTGGCGGTAAACTCTGTAACCTTCTTCTTTTTGTCACAAACCAAGCATCGACGCCTGCAGGTGACGCTAGTTATATCTGGGGCTTTGTCACTTGAGTCACTGACCAACTACTGATGCGGTAGAGACTCGAGAAGCCGACGGATTCTTGATTGGGGTTTCTGGGCAAGCAGCAATGCCAGTTGAATCACCAGCTATCAAGCCGATAAACAAGGCGGCTGTTCACAGAATCTGTGCCGGTCAAGTGATCTTCGACCTTTCATCTGCGGTTAAGGAATTAGTCGAAAACAGCTTGGATGCTGGCGCGACTAGCATTGAAATTGCCTTGAAAGATTATGGCGAAGAATGGTTCCAGGTCATCGATAATGGGTGTGGTATTTCACCTAATAATTTCAAGGTATTCTATCACCCTAAAATGAGGTGGCTTGGCTTGATTTTAAGAACGTCAGAGTCTGAGGGGACACTCCCTTGTAAATGTAGCAGGGCGATACCAGCGAAACCAGAAATCTAGTAGGACAAGCATAACTAGTGTCTTAGTTGAGCTCATTGCTGTCGTTGTTTAACGTTGCAGCTGTATATTAACACTGTTATAGGTTTAACTTTTCGAATGACTTGCTGGTACTATTAGTGGCCTGGCATAGCCGAACTGGTGCGGGAGAGGGTTATAAGTAGTGTTGTTCCACTGTGTACTTTGTCTTCATTCTTAATGGAGTCTGTCTAGAATTCTTCTCTCTTCTTTCTCTATCCTTCCACAATTTTCATTTATTGCTAGATGCTGAATGGTGAACAAATACTCTGTTTGAATTGTAGCAAATGGGTTCCATTTATTGCTAGATGCCTAATGATTCAAATCAGAATTTTGATTCTACTTTGACTGCTGCTGTGAGGAGGGGGTACAAATATGGTTCTGTTAGCTGCTACTTGGTGGGGTGGTTGAGTAGTAAGGAGGTTGAATACGGTAGGAAGAGGGTTGTAAGTAGAATTTTGTACCTTCTCTTACAGGAATTTGTCTAGAACTCTCATCTTTTATCTTTATTTTTATTTTTTTCTTCTAGTTATTATCATTTGCCTCTCCAAAAGTTTCACAATGATCAATTTCTCAATTTACATAATCGCTGCCAGGCACGAGTTTCTCAGTTTGACATGTTTAGCTCAGAAGTTTGAGTGTATGTATACATTATCTTGGATGTCACCATCTTTTATTCATTTAATTTTTACGTGATTGTAAGGGGCATTTTTTGGGTGCTTGTGTGAAAAGTAATTGAGATGATAGATAATTAGGCTAGCTCTCTCTTAATCAGATAAGCAGAAAATATGCTTCATGTGCTGATCAATTTCAGTTACTTTACAGTCGTACAGTTTATAACAGGTTATTATTGCTCAAACATTATCGCAGGTTCTTGCACTTAAGCATCACACCTCAAAATTATCAGATTTTCCTGATCTTCAGTCTCTCACCACATTTGGCTTTAGAGGGGAGGCGTTGAGTTCCCTTTGTGCTCTGGGGGGTTTGACAGTTGAAACGAGAACAAAGAATGAGTCAGTTGCCACACACCTGACTTTTGACCATTCAGGTCTACTGGTAGCTGAGAGGAAAATTGCACGTCAAATTGGCACCACCGTCACTGTTAAAAAGTTATTTTCTAACTTACCTGTCCGAAGTAAAGAATTCAGGCGTAACATACGCAAGGAATATGGAAAGTTAGTTTCGCTATTGAATGTGAGTATCCTTTCCATGGCAAGGTTAAGTGAATGCATACTTTCTGATTCTTTCATTCAATACGATTTCTTCTTCGCATAAAAACGTTCTGAAAAAACACATGCAGATGCCAGAACACTCTTTTTCATACCCATCATACTCACCAAAAAATTCGTTCTGGTATGCAAATTTTTTAACGAGTTATCTGGTTTTTATCATGTATACATATACATACATGTGTGCACCCATGTGTGCACACACACATGTATATATACTTTTATTGGATCTCTGCCTCGTACAATGATGCGAGCAGTCAAATTCCTATGCTCTCTACAAACTGATTTTTGGATTGCTGGTAATAGTATTCCTGGCATATTTATTGCTGACCTTTTATGTATGGATGCATCACAAAAACATCACTTATTCTCCAGCAATTTAGAGATATTGGCCCTTTGCCTTTGTTTTAGTGTGTTATGGTTATTGCTTTTACATCCCTTCTGCTTTTTATAGATATCCCCCCCTCCCAAATAAAATATTCTTTCTTCTTAATGATATATGTATTTTTTAATTGATACTTTTCTACCATCAATTCTTCAGGCATATGCCCTTATCGCCAAAGGTGTTCGTTTTGTCTGTACCAATACAACTGGAAAAAATGCAAGGTCTGTGGTCCTTAAGACCCAGGGAAGTGGTTCTCTCAAAGATAACATTATAACAGTCTTTGGCATGAACACCTTGAGCTGCTTAGAGCCTGTGACATTATGCATATCTGATAGCTGCAAGGCTGAAGGTTTTCTTTCCAAGCCCGGACAGGGAAGTGGACGTAATTTAGGAGATAGGCAGTATTTTTTTGTTAATGGCAGACCAGTAGATATGCCTAAAGTCAGCAAACTTTTAAATGAATTATACAAAGGTGCAAATTCACGGCAATATCCTATTGCAATTTTGAATTTTTCAGTTCCATCTAGAGCATATGATGTGAATGTGACTCCTGATAAGAGGAAGATATTTTTTTCTGAAGAAAGTTGCCTATTGCATGCCCTCAGAGAGGGATTCCAGCAAATTTATTCTCCTAGTAGTGCTCGTTATTCTGTTAATGAATCTGAACAGCCTGCTGTGGGAGAAGACTGTATTGAGCTGTGTAATACTGAATTCAACAATGCTAGTGTTCCTCAGGAGGAGTGGAAAGAGAAGGATAATAATCAGTCCTACTTTGTTTCTGAACCTGTTCCTGATGATCAGTGCTTTCATGCTGAAGAACAGTCTAACAATGAGAATAATAGAAGCGCATTGGGAAAGGATTTAACACTGAGAGCTCATGGGACATTAAAGTCTGATAAAAGTATAAGACAGACAATGCACTCTAACAGTACCGTGCCTGATCAAGCTGCTTTTGTGTTCAAAGCAGTTGACAATGGAGTCGCTTCAAATAAAAGTTCATGTAATCATTCAAGTCGTGTCCAGTCAACTCTTGAGAAATTTGTTACCATAAATAAAAGAAAGCATGATAACATCAGTACAACCTTATCTGAAGTGCCTGTCCTGAGAAATCAATATCACCATTGTCAACTAACAACTGTGAATACTGAAACACATGACTCGATTACAAGACCGTCGCACCATCATGAACAAGATGATGAAACTGGGAAGGGGAATTGGAATGAGTCTTTGGAGCATCTTAGTCCTGATAATGATACCCACAGAAGTGAGCATTTAATTTCTTCTATTGATGATTCAGGTGTCAAAGAACCTGAAATGGTATGTGGTTTATACTTTAAATGTTCCTCAAATTTATTTGAACTGCTATTAAGAAATACCTACAGTTTCAGTTATTGAACCATGCAATCATTAAATGCAGACTATATACTTGAGCCGTATTGTATGAGGACTATAAAGATCTTGGGCTGCTCCATTAAGTTGTGTCTTTTACATCAATGATCCCTGGTTTATTCTTTTTGTTCCTCCAACAAGAGTCTTGACTATTTTTTTAATCCTAATGGAGATCCTTCTGATAAGTGTCATTTTGCAATAGTATTAAGATGCTAAAACAAGGCTATGTATTCCTTTCATCTGAACTGCTTGGCACATTATTCCTCAGTGTCTATGGTTGGAGTAAATTGCTTGTTTTTGAGGCAAGTGTTTGGCTTGCTTTGGGGATTTTTTTTTTTTGGGAGATAAGGATGGGGCTGTTCTTAGTTTAAGTCTCCTTCGTAGACATATAGGTGGTTAGAGAGTTTTCTCCTATTGATGCTTTGTATTTGCAAGTTTTTTCCCCCCCCCCCCCCCTTGTTATTCAAATTTTATGTCCAGAAAAGAAAAATCAACTTGCTCTCGGTATAATTTTCACATTGAGGATGCTGATTTCAGGATTTAGATCAAGCGAAAGAAGCATCTCTTGCTGATGCAGCATCAATCGCTCCATCCAGCACTGATTTGATCAATATGTCGGAGCATATTTTCGTCTCAGACCATCAAGTATGTTCATCTACTTCAAAGAAATCATCTGATCAGAAGACATGCTCAAACTTGCAATTTTCTTTCCAAGACCTTAATACTAGGAGAAAGAAGAGGCGTTCTATGTTGCAATCCAGTAATTACAGATTTCAACAAGTGAATGTCAAAAGGTCTCTATTTACATTACCAATTGTATGAAATTGGCAATATCATATACAGCTGTTTAATCAGTTGACTTTTTATGTTTACTCGTAGTTGCTACTCTGCTGCAAACTTAAAGTTTTCAGAGCTGGAAATTGAAGAGCAGAAAGAAAGAGCTTTATGTGCTGCAACAACTGAGTTGGAAAGACTCTTTAAGAAGAAAGACTTCAGCAGAATGAAGGTCACGCCCGGGGGGGGGGTCCCCAAAAAGAAAACTTGTTTCAAATAATCATCTAAAATGCTTGAAATGCTTCTAACTGTGCCACATCTCTCTTTCTCTCTGTGTCTCTCTCTCTAACTGTGCCATCTTTTTTGATGATCTGTGTTACTGCTTTGTAAGTTATGGACTAAAATGTTAGGAGCCTGTAGGTTCCTTTCTTTATTGAAAACCCGTGCCCGAATTAAGAAGTCAACTACCATGGTTTTCTTTTAAATCAAACATGCCCTACAATAACTTGTTGATTGCTCTGCTTTGTTCCTGTAGGTGATTGGGCAATTCAATCTTGGTTTTATCATTGGGAAATTGGATCAGGATTTATTTATTGTGGATCAGGTAATTTCTGGTCCACGCTTCTAAACCAGTGATATATATAGTTTTTACCTCCATTAATTTGAATGATTAATCAATAAAAATGTCTTATTTTCATCAGATTGGCATTTTCAGTTTATTTCTGTATCGAAATTTGAAACATAATTCTTAACAAGAATAATCTATTTTCAGCATGCTGCGGATGAGAAGTACAATTACGAGCGCCTTTCACAATCAACCATCTTGAACCAGCAGCCTTTGCTTAGGTTAGGAGCTTATAATGTCTTTGACTTGCAAGTTTTACCATGTTGTCTCTTTTTCGCTTTGTTGTTTTTGGAGAGGAGGGAGATTATGGCACTTCAAATTGCAATTGCTTGGTATAGATACTATGCTTATTTTGAAATCAACTACTGCGTCCTCTCGTGTTAAAGGTAAAGGAACTTGTTCAATTCAAAGTTATAATATCTATTCAGAGTGAAAACTTGATAGCTGAAGCACTTTTATTGAACCATATATTGTATTATCTACACTGCACTGATGAAACATGGTTGAGTAATCTCGTTCCCATATTTGTTCAACTTCTATTTCTATCCAAGGTTTCAAACCCTTTTCAAATTATTAATGTAGGGCTCTAAGATTGGAGTTATCCCCTCAAGAAGAAATAGTTGCTTCAATGCACATGGACATAATCAGGTATAATTGGCACCCCGCTGGTAAAGTATTGATATATATTACTTCGACTTATTTCAGGTTATTGTTAGAAACTAGATATCTATAGTGCTATTGTAATGTTAGTCTTGAACCAAGCAGACTTTATTTCTGTCCAGTTTGCTTTGGTCATTACGGAAGTGTTTCCCAATGTGCTCTGATTTGCTTGCTCATTTCCTACTTATCATGATATGAGAAAATAACCGTATTGAGTGTCTTGAACATATTCCTATTTCACAGTGATAGCACCTTATTTTAGAAGCTAAGAATCATGTAATGCTATATCAGAAAACACAGATAATACCACTGGTTAATTTTCTCTTATCTACTGTAGTAAACTGAACAGTACATATCAGTCTCTTGTGGATCACTGGACAACTGAGCTGAAACTGCGCTATGTTATGCTAAATCAATCCAATGATTTTCCTAGACAATTTCAAAAGGTGTATGGTCAGATACTTTGCTGCTGCGAAGTGCATAATATATAGAAATCTGGGGACAAAATTATGTTTGGATTTATTCAATGCTTGATATCATCAACCTGATGCTTAGGTTAAGATGCAGCGGTGATTATGTCCTTTGGTCTATTTAAGGAATTGACATCCTCATCTCTTATCACTTGTTTCTCTTTATTGATTAGTTTCATGATCTCACGAAGGCATAATTCATTGTGATCAACCATAGGTTGTGGCTATTGAAGACGTCTATGCTCAAACACCTTTTACATTCCTTGTTTTCGATCCCATATCAGGCTTCAACCAGATCCTGAGAATTTCGTTGAGGTAGAGTGTCATTACAAGAGCGGGCTGGCCTCAATAGCACTGCCTTTCAGGTTGCCAGGGTAGATTATTAGAGTTACCAAACTCTTCTCCCCACTCCCCCTGCTGATATTTTCCCAAACTATTTAAGTTGCCAATTCCTGGCTGCTGATATCTCTTTAATTGTGGTTGTGACTGCTGTTGCTACAGTCACTGACAGATAATATTTCCATTTAAGATTTCTGAGTTCCTGCTTATGGATTACACCATTAGTACTTGGTCTAATTTCCTCTTGTTGTGTCGATTACACCATTAGTGCTTGGTCTAATTTCCTCTTGTTGTGTCGATTACACCATTAGTGCTTGGTCTAATTTCCTCTTGTTTGTGTCAGCTACTTTTGTATATGCATTTTTCGTCGATACCAAATTTAAATTTTGTGAGCGCAAAACTTCTATAGTGTTGCATTTCTTTACTTTGCCATATTTGAGGTTTAATCTGGTTGATGGTGTTATTTTGCATTTTCTCCATTTCCAGAAAGAATGGGTTTACATTGGAAGAGGATCCAAATGCTCCACCTGGATGCCGTTATAAATTGAAGGCCGTCCCCTTCAGTAAAAACATAGTCTTTGGAAGTGAAGGTAGTTAGCTCTGAATTTGCTGATATTGGTTTTAAATTTACTTACGGTGATTCTGTTGGTTTTTATGATTTCGGCTCTGTCAAGGAGAAGCCCTGAATATAACCTCCTTGCGCATAAGATGCATCATTTTCTGTTTTTGATTCTCCCTATGTACAAAAAATTCAAAATTTCTTTTGACAACAGTACGAAGTTTAAAAAAGCAAATTAATTATTAATTAATCAAAGTAAAAAGAAAACCAACAGTGACATGAATATATACAAAGTATTTATCTCACTTTTGTATTGATGATATATTTGCTAATTGAATCCTGCGTTTTAGTGTTTATTGACCTGTGTTTCTTCCAACAGATGTTAAGGACCTGGTTTCTACGTTAGCTGATGATCAAGGGGACTGCTCCATTACTGGTAGTTATAAGCTGGACACGTCAGATTCTATTTGCCCTCCAAGAGTTCGTGCAATGTTGGCATCGCGTGCATGTCGATCATCCATTATGATTGGAGATCCCCTTGGAAGAAATGAAATGCAGAAGGTAGTAAAATGCATTCCTGTAATCATCACCTCAGCTTCTTACCCCCTCACCAAAGCAGAAGGCACATTCGTTAGAAGAAATCCAGAATAAGAATTAGTTCAACTATATTTTAACCTTCCAGCTTCAACTTCCACTCTGACAGGCCAAAAATTTGTAGCTTCCTTCACTAATGAGAATCGGCTATCATGTGTGTTTCAGATTCTGGGGCATTTGGCTGAGCTGAAATCTCCATGGAATTGTCCCCATGGCAGGCCTACAATGCGTCATCTAGTGGACTTGACATCAATTTACAAGAGGTCAGAATTAAAGAACGTAGATTGATTCACAAGGAAATTCTGACTGCCGCTCTTGCGATTCGGAGTTTAACCTATTTGTACAACTTATTTTTGTACTTGTCATCCTTCATCTTAACCATGGAACAAGTACCAATGCACATAAAATCCGTCCTGTTGTATATTTGTGAGTTGCATGAAGGAGCAAGTTACTTTCACATAAACGCGTGATATGGATGTAAGTTGCTGACTTGTGATATCTTCTTTAAGTGCGGGACTTTACAACTACAAAATATATATATGTATATATATATATATGTATTGTAAACATTAGTACCAACAAATAAATGACTTACTAAAAGCTATATCCATCAAATCATGCCAATATTCGCAAGTCATTAGCTTCCTATAAAAATTGGCGGGTTGCATTCGGATTCTCTACATCCTTTCACAAATAGCCCTCTATGGTCATTTGGGAAAACACCAGCTGAAAGAGTGGCTTGCTTATGATAATATGATTGTGGAAGACATTATTAAAAATTGAATTAGACATTCAGAATTTTCATAATAGAATGCATTCAAGTAGGGAAAAAAAAAAAATTGAGATACTTTAACCAGAGCGTTAGAAGGAATCAATATACCAATATATATATATATATATATATATTAAATTTTCAATGTGACGTATATAATAAGCCTAATTATTTTTCTTAATAATGTGATTTATTAATCAAATGTTTTAAAATGAATGAAAAAAGATATATTCGGTTTTCAAGAACCCAACAATCATAAAAATATTAATAATTATTTAATTTATTTTATTACACCAAAAAAATTCAAAAAGTTACTCCTTCACTTTTATACACATTAGTATAATGGTATTATATTTAAAATCAGAAGAGTATTAAAATAATTATATTTCCTACCCATCCTTTTTGAAGATCAGGGAAGAGAACACTCCCGCTCAGTTTTTCTAGTTCCATTTTGTTATTGAAAAAGGAAAATAATTGGGCAAAATTATCGAAAACTAAAGTCACACTTAAAAAACAAAATTAAGAAATGAATAACAGGACGGCCGGAAAAGAGAAACCAAAAACAAGTTTTGGCCCAGTTGACCTAACAAATCTTTAATTTAGAATATTTATTGGTTTTATTATCTGGCACCAGCCGAAAGGTGTGAAGGTTTTAGGTGACTCGAACTCGAATGGGAATCAGGTGAAGTGATAGTCGTACCTGTCCGGCTTCTCTTCGTCTCTGTTCCTTTGAACAGAATTCACAAGTCTCTAGACGAAGACGTTAGCGGCCGATCCGCGTGTTGAAGAGACTATCCCATAGCCATTATGGTATGTGTTTACTTCTCCCTCTGTTTGGTCGAGGTCATACTTTTTTCAAAACCCTAGCATTCTCCGGCGTAACGCAATTGATCCCTAGATTTCGTGAAGTTATTCGTACCCTCTTCCCCTATGTTAGTCATTTCTATTACGTTAATCCGAAAACCCAAGTGGGTTTCACTTATCCCTCCTTCTCCTTACCATAAGGTGCTGGGGTCCCAAACTCCGGGTTCAGTGTAATTTTCGTGTTAAGGGTTTTCCGAAATCGAAGCTGTAGGATCTGTTTTACGGTCAATGTGAATTTTACCCCATTCTTAACCCATCTTTTACATCTATGATTTTTTGCTCATTTTTGCAGCTTCCTCTTTCCCTTCTCAAGACTGCCCAAGGGCACCCTATGGTAAGTATTGTGTATGTGTGGTCTTTCAGAACCTTTCTGAAACGTAGTGTGCTTTACCTTTCTTTTATAACTTGTGTTGTTTTGCAGGATGTGTAACTTGTGGTTATTTAATATCTTGTAACAGTTGGTAGAACTGAAAAATGGGGAAACCTATAACGGGCATTTGGTTAACTGTGACACATGGATGAATATCCATCTCCGTGAAGTCATCTGTACCTCAAAAGTAATTTCCATTCTCTGGCCCTTGCTGATTTTGCTCCATTTTATCATCTTATAATATCCCGTCTGCTTGGTTATATACTTTTCTTATAAGTTTTGAAAAAAAAAAAAAAAATTGGTCGATATTGTTGATATAGGATGGAGATAGATTTTGGCGAATGCCTGAATGCTACATACGAGGAAATACGATTAAGTACCTAAGAGTTCCAGATGAGGTGAGTGGTAGAAACACCCCCCCCCCCCAAAAAAAAAAGTTGAATTCTGTACACTGTTTCGTCCCTGTTACATTTATTCTCTGATTTATTGCTATTACTTGTTACTTCAGGTTATTGACAAAGTTCAGGAAGAAACCAAGAGCCGCACAGGTGAATTGTTTGGCACATTAGTTGGTTGTTCATCTTTGTAGTCACTATTTATAACGCCTAGTTATTTGTCGAAAACTCCATCATGCTCAACATAACTAAGATGCCTGTTCCCCCACCACAAGAAACGGGGTTTTCCTTCATAAGCAAAAGACCACTGTATTTTAATGAGCTAAGATTAGTTGACTTAATTTTACCCGTATTTTATGAAATGCTGTTCATTTAAGTTGCTGAAAACTAGAGAGTTGTCTAATTAACGTATCCCTTTTCAGATCGCAAACCACCTGGCGTGGGACGAGGTAGAGGAAGAGGGAGTGCGGATGGTCCTGGGGGACGTCAAGCCAAAGGAATTGGGCGTGGCCTTGATGATGGTAGTGCAAAAGGACCAGGTGGAGGCAGGGGCAGGGGTGGGTCAGGTGGCAAGCCTGGTGGAAGAGGTAAATGGCCCCTTATATCCTGTTCCTCTCTAGATGATTATATGTTATCTCCCTTCAATTTTCCGTGGAAGATTTCCAACTGCTTTCTGCGCTAGTATTGAATTACTGATGTTTTAACCCAGGCAAGCTGTTGATGGAGAAGAAATTTCTCCCGGACTTAAAATTTGAAATATAAATAAACAAAAATTAATATACATGTTTAATAGTTTTGTTGGATTCAGCGTTGAAATTTATAGTTGGGAGATGTCTCTAGATTTAGCTGCATACGTTCTTCAACTCTGTGAACTGCTTATTATTTCTATACATGTGCCGTCTTAATGGAAGCTCAAACGCTGAATAAATCTAATCCGGTTTCTTTGCTTTTGTAGGCGCTGGACGAGGAAGAGGTTAATTTAGTTTGTGCTGTAACAGTTCAGGATGGGCCAGTTTGCTACTTTTAGAGGCATTTGTGCCCATTTTATTTGGGTGCATTGACAGATTCTTCTGCATATTATCTTTTTATCTATGGATATTTCGTCGTCTTAGGCTTTCATGGCTGTTATGGTTACCAAAATATAGGTGATATCAAAGAATTTGATGAAAGCCTCTGGCCGTGCATCATATTTCAACCATTATCCAAATCATTTGCCCCAATGAGTAAGGATGATGATACTAAACGCTTAATTTATATTTAATTCACGGAGCCTCTGGTTGATTGTTGACGTCATTTTCTTCTCAGTCTTCAGAGGCTCTTTTCCCCACAAATGTTCACTTTTGCCAGGGCTTAAACCCTAGTGAACCTCAAGTTGCTTGTTGAACTGTGCATATAAAATCAAGGGGGTGTTACGGTGAAGTTTGATTGATTATTCTTCGTATGGGCAATAAGCATCAGATACGTTTGGTTTCACTAAAGCATGTATTACAGTATTCAGTAACTAGTTCATGCGAAAGAAGAATGAGATTCTTGTGAATTAAATGAATCGCTGATGGTTCGATAAAGAAGGGATTTTAACACTGGGAGTGTATCATTTCTCAATGCTTGTGGGTTTTGGTCGGAAGAATTTAACCCCCCACCCTTTCCCCCCCAAAAAAAGGGAGAAGAAACATTTCATTTTTATACATATTTTCCGGTTTAACTGATGCCTACGTTTGGATGGGAAGAAAATTATAAAAGAAAGCGTACTAGGACCCAAAAAGACTCCCTAAGATAGTAAATTTTGTAACTATTTTTGGATGGTTTCCTTCCTAGTATTCCCTCCATCCAGATATAGTCTTCACTTTTCTGTATCCGGAAAATTAAAAAAGGATGAGACTTGAAATTTTAATAAATGTTCTCTGTTTCAAAATTGGAGTCGGCCGTTGCAGTGCTATCGTGTAGGGTTGAGCATTTTTTTTCTCAAGTGCGCCAACAAACCGCGCCATTAGTAAATCGATTAATCTGAAAAATGAGGCTCGAATAACCGTAGCTTTGTTGGCAAAACACCCCCCCCCCAAAAAAAAAAAACGAATAGCGGGGTAGTTTTATTCTTATGTTATTAATCGGTTATTCTTGCCGATGATAGAGGATCTCTAAATTCTATAAAATACAAATTTCCATAATTCATACAATCATTTATACAATCTCCTGTAGGGATGCAAAGATACTTAGTCTTGTGCCAAAATTTGCCTCCATATGATACAAGTTGCCAGTCAATCAGCCTGAAAAAATAAGCGTCCACAAAAGACCCAGATCCCTAGCCCAGCCCCCCCCCCCCCCCCCCCCCCAAAAAAAAAAAAGTATTCAAACTACTGAAAGTTGCATACCTGAGGACCGATGCTCCATGTTATCTTTGAAAATATCTGTCCGCTCATATCAAACCTCATCGGTTCAAAAGACCACAACGGAAAGCTAGTAGGGCTGATGACGATTTTTCTTGCGAGTTCTTTCGGACTTCGTTGTCAACGTGCTAGAAATCCATGATCGATTCACCTGAGGTGAATCATCAGACAGCCAGCAACAAAGGCGACCATCTTCCCCACCGGTCCATCCAAAAATGCCTTGGTCACACCCGGGTCCGCCGTGAATTCTTGACATGGGTAATACACTCCTTACAACACTTGTATGGCCCCCCTGGAGAATTGCTTCCGCAGATCCTACAGTTGCCGCCGCATTATAATTTACAGGAAAGTAGCCCAGAACACCCGCAGTAGTGCCACCAATCACCCATAGTTGTTGAGCTTCTCCGGAGTAGTGACAGTCAACAAAATAGTCAATCTAACAAGAGAAAGTGCAACATCAGTTTGTGGACTTGTGAGCACAGAATTATAGCAGAATCGTTATAGTAGTAGCAGCTGGAAAAGTTCGGAAGACCATCCACACTTATAGTGCAGCTGAAGCTCCATGCTCCCCTTCCACAAAGGCAGGTTGCATCAGCTCATGTGATAGAAATGACCCCCTGAAGCATGGCTTCTTTCTCATGGAGAACTCTCCAGGAATAAG